CACCAGGAATAACACCAGTATTAGATTGGTGACAGTGTGATGTAGCCTGATATTACACCAGTGTTAGATGGTTGTCACCTGGTATTACAACAGTGTTAGATGAGTGTCACCTGGTATTGCAACAGTGTTAGATGGGTGTCACCTGGTATTACACCAGTGTTAGATGGGTGCCACCTGGTATTACACAAGTGTTCATGGGTGTCACCAGGTATTACACCAGAGTTAGATGGTTGTCACCATGTATTACAACAGTGTTAGATGGGTGTCAGTGTGATGTAGCCTGGTATTAGACCAGTGTTATATGGGTGTCACCTGGTATTACTCCAGTGATACATGGGTGTCACCTGGTATTACACCAGTGTTTGATGGGTGTCATCTGGGATAACACCAGTGTTAGATTGGTGTCAACTAGTATTACAACTGTGTTAGATTGGTGACACCTGGTTTTACACCTGTGTTAGATGGGTGTCATCTGGTTTTACAACAGTGTTAGATAGGTGTCGCCTGGTATTACACCAGTGTTAGATGGTTGTCATCTGATATGACACCAGTGTTAGATGGGTGTCGCCTGCTATTACACCAGTGTTAGATGGGTGTCACCTGGTATTACACCAGTGGAAGATGGGTGTCACCTGGTATTACACCAGTGTTAGATGGGTGTCACCTGGTATTACACCAGTGTTAGATGGGTGTCACCTGGTATTACACCAGTGTTAGATGGGTGTCAACTGGTATTACACCAGTGTTAGATGGGTGTCAGTGTGATGTAGCCTGGTATTACACCATTGTTAGGTCGGTGTCATCTGGTATTACAACAGTGTTAGATGGATTTCACCTGGTGTTACACCAGTGATAGATGGGTGTCACCTGGTATTACACCTGTGTTTGATAGATGTCACCTGGTATTACACCAGTGATAAATGGGTGTCACCATGTATTACACAAGTGTTAGATGGATGTCACCACGTATTACACCAGTGTTAGATTGGTGTCACCAGGTATTACACCATTGTCATATGGGTGTCACCTGGTATTACATCAGTGTTAGATGGGTGTCAGTGTGATGTAGCCTGGTATTACATCACTGTTAGATGGGTGTCAACAGGTATTACACAAGTGTTCAATGGGTGTAAGTGTGATGTAGCCTGGTATTACACCAATGTTAGATGGGTGTCACCAGGTATTACATCAGTGTTCGATGGGTGTCAGTGTGATGTAGCCTGGTATTACACCAGTGTTAGATGGGAGTCAGTGTGATGTAGACTGGTATTACACCAGTGTTAGATGGGTGTCACCAGGTATTTCACCAGTGTAACCTGGTTGTAACCTGATATTACACCTGTGTTAGATGTGTGTCAGTGTGATGTACCTTGGTATTACACCAGTGTTAGATGGTTGTCCCCTGGTATTACAACAGTGTTAGATGAGTGTCACCTGGTATTGCAACAGTGTTAGATGGGTGTCACCTGCTGTTACACCAGTGTTTGATGGGCGTCACCTGGTATTACACCCGTGATAAATGGGTGTCACCATGTATTACACCAGTGTTAGATGGGTGTCAGTGTGATGTGGCCTGGTATTACACCAGTGTTAGATGGGTGTCACCAGGTATTACACCAGTTTTAGATGGGTGTCACCAGGTATTACACCATTGTCATATGGGTGTCAGCTGGTATTACACCAGTGTTAGATGGTTGTCACCAGGAATAACACCAGTATTAGATGGTTGACAGTGTGATGTAGCCTGATATTACACCAGTGTTAGATGGTTGTCACCTGGTATAACACCAGTGTTAGATGGGTGTCACCAGGTATAACACCAGTGTTAGATGGGTGTCACCTGGTATTACAACAGTGTTACATGGGTGTCACCTGGTATTACACCAGTGTTAGATGGATGTCACCTGGTATTACATCAGTGTTAGATGGGTGTCACCAGGTATTACAACCGTGTTAGATGGGTGCCTCCTGGTATTATACAAGTGTTCATGGGTGTCACTGTGATGTAGCCTGGTATTACACCAATGTTAGATGGGTGTCACCAAGTATTACACCAGTGTTAGATGGGTGTCACCTCGTATTACACCTGTGTTAGATGAATGTCACCTGGTATTACATCAGTGTTAGATGGGTGTCACCTCGTATTACACCAGTGTAAGATGGGTGTCACCAGGTATTACACCTGTGTTATATGGGTGTCACCTGGTATTACACCAGTGTTAGATGGGTGTCACCTGGTATTATACAAGTGTTCATGGGTGTCAGTGTGATGTAGCCTGGTATTACACCAATGTTAGATGGGTGTCACCAGGTATTACACCAGTGTTAGATGGGTGTCACCTCGTATTACACCAGTGTAAGATGGGTGTCACCAGGTATTACACCAGTGTTAGATGGGTGTCACCAGGTATTACACAAGTGTTAGATGGGTGTCACCTGGTATTACACAAGTGTTCATGGGTGTCAGTGTGATGTAGCCTGGTATTACATCAATGTTAGATGGGTGTCACCAGGTATTACATCAGTGTTAGATGGGTGTCACCAGGTATTACGCCAGTGTTAGATGGGTGACAGTTTGATGTAGCCTGATATTACACCAGTGTTAGATGGGTGTCAGTGTGATGTAGACTGGTATTACACCAGTGTTACATGGTTGTCACCAGGTATTACACCAGTGTTAGATGGGTGTCACCAGGTATTTCACCAGTGTAACCTGGTTGTAACCTGTTATTACACCTGTGTTAGATGTGTGTCAATGTGATGTACCTTGGTATTACACCACTGTGAGATGGTTGTCACCAGGAATAACACCTGTATTAGATTGGTGACAGTGTGATGTAGCCTGATATCACACCAGTGTTAGATGGTTGTCACCTGGTATTACAACAGTGTTAGATGAGTGTCACCTGGTATTGCAACAGTGTTAGATTGGTGTCACCTGGTATTACACCAGTGTTAGATGGGTGTCACCTGGTATTACAACAGTGTTAGATGGGTGTCACCTGGTATTACACCAGTGTTAGATGTGTGTCACCTGGTATTACACCAGTGTTAGGTGGGTGTCTCCTGGTGTTACACCAGTGTTAGATGGGTGTCACCTGGTATTACAACAGTGTTAGATGGGTGTCACCTGGTATTACACCAGTGTTAGGTGGGTGTCACCAGGTATTACACCAGTGTTAGATGGTTGTGACCTGGTATTACACCAGTGTTAGGTGGGTGTCACCAGGTATTACACCAGTGTTAGATGGGTGTCTCCTGGTGTTACACCAGTGTTAGATGGGTGTCAGTTTGATGTCGGGTGACAAAAAAACGTGTGTTGTGTTTGTCACAGATTTTACATTAATCTCTGATGATGATAAACTACTGCGACTCCCAGCAACTGTTTGAACTGCTAGTTTTATTTTGTCGATACCTCTACATTTTGGAATAGAGGGTCTAAGATCAGCACGCTGATGAACTGTCCATATAATAGGCGCTAATGGGACGGATGTCAAACTCCATGCGACAACGCCAATGTCACCATGAGCCAGTCAGTTAGGCCTGCTGACTGTGGTCCCTCGTGTAGCACCAAGCTCGTAGTACATGGAACTACATTCCCATCCAGTATTGATTTTCCTCACTGTTCTAAGAGCGACCAAACACACGCCCGTAGCAGGGCCAAGATCTAAATATGGACATTGTTGCATGCATATAGCTGCATAAAATAACAGAGATCACAGAGGGAGGTTAACAATGAACTGAGTGCTTCTTGAAGTACTTGTCTTTCTGTCTGGTTAAGATTGTCTCTGTGTCTTCATCTCCCGCGATCAGACTTAGAACTTTCCAGTGTTTATCTGTCTGTGTGTCGTTGCGGCTGTGTCATTTGTCTGCACAAATGTCTGGCTCAGTCACAACCAGACTGTCAACAGATTAGCTTCACCCTTGAGCAGACTGTCTGTCTGCCTACTGGGCTACTGTTTGTGTGGGTTTATCACTGTGTGCCTGATGGTATGTGCATCACCTAACGTTAGCTCGTTTTAAATTCACGACTGTGCAGACCATCGTAGTTATGGAACTGTTCTATGTGTGAAGAGAATTATATACTACCACAATATGCTTTCATTTCAAACTATCAAACATAAATAAACGATTTGATGACTACACACTGTACTAGTCTCATGGGGTGAGTCATGTAGCCAGGCACATCCGGAATCGCCATTCTAATTAGAGAGTATGTGGCATGTTCACTCAAGTCGTGTAACATACGGTATTTTCGTAACCCTATCGAAAACCGATGCCATGAACATATCATCCACATGTAATCGTCTTTGCTTTCATGACCCTGCGATAGTACACTGGCGTGGCGAGTTCCTCCTGGTTACCATGGCAATTAATGACCCAATCTGCCGATTGCCGTAAAACGTCCCGCTCTATCTTGACTTCCGGAGGTCATGCATGGCCACATGATGTATATTATCGTGCATGCGAGACTTGGTCGGTATGAGTGGCCTGGGGCTTCATTATGATGAACTGCAGTCGGGGCATGGTTGCCATGTATATCTGTACGACGTGGAAGCACGCAAGGCAATCCACATATTCTAGGTCAGGTATTACGTCATACAGACGTCTAATCCTGAAAGAATGTTGAAATATGAAATCGCTATTTTGTTCAGCGGTCATGATTTTGTAAGCAGGGGGTCCATTCCAAAGTCGTGTCGGTTTAAACATGTTTGTGATAGACATTATGCTAATTTGATTGGAAGTCGTTTGTTGATACCATGCTGTATGTTTTGAAATAAGCCAACTTCAAACAACACACAATTCTTTGTTTACAAACCTAAAAACATAACTAGCGGCACCGAGAGGTGAAATGTTGCGTGTGGTGTGCTGGCAACAAGAAGAAGCTTGGTGCCGAGGCCGGCCCATACATACCGCCAACACAAGTCAATATACATCGCCTTCCAATCACACAGCCAACTGGCCAACACACACCAGCCTTGGATGCAAAATATCCTTACCTAAAGAAAGCTAGTTGGTAAAAATCCTTCAGAAAATATTCCTAGACAAGAGCGATACTGGTCGTTTCGTGAATAATGCGCCGGTAGAGGTGTACATTCCCCGTGATGGCCAGTACGCATGTGTAGGAAATATCAATACTTGCAGTGATCGTACTGTGCACCGTGCTGCTCGCCGGTGGCGCCACTCGCAGTTGATGTAGATTGTGATTCACTCTATGGAAACCTGGAAGGGACATTGTTGCATCAACGCACTACAAACACAAGCAAAGTACACAATATTTTGTCAAGTACGATAATTCAACAACGCAGCATTTTGACCGTTTGCCGTAATGTTGCCTAATCGCATTGTCTTGCTTGGAATATTTTTAAAAAAATTAACACAAGGCGACATCGCGACACTCGCCAAGGTCACAATGTATTGGGCTGTTGCACGTGTAGCCCTGACTAAATGTACAGAAAAGGGCGTCAGAACACAGATACATTGTTAATGTCACAGTGTCGCCCTCCCCCACTATATTGTGGATGTGGCGTATGGGAAGTACTGTGAGTGCGCTGAAATAGTCCCTTTCTAAACCCACAGGTGATCGTTTTGTTTATCTCCAATCATTGTAATACCAAAGTTATATCAATGGGAAAATAGGGGTTTAGTGCTTAGAACAGAAAAAAATCTTTGATCTCTTCTTTACAAATTGTACGTCCTCTGTGGTCTAGTGCAGAGTGCGTCAGTATAGAGAGCGATTGGAAGCTATGATAAACTGCGGCACAGGATATGGAACATGCATTACCACACACTAGAACGCGCTCACATGCACATATCCCCCCCCCCACACACACACACACACACACAGACACACGCACGTACACACATATACTAATTCATGAACACCAAATTTAAATTTTCATAAATCGAAGCGTTTTGTCGTACTGTACATATAGTCCAGGAGGAGGCAGCTGAAAAATTTCAAATCGTAGCCTCCCAAGTACTGATTTTGTTTGACACTATTTTCAGTTAGTATGATGTCTTGGGCTCATGAAAAGGCCTGTAATACTCTCAGATTGTGGTATCAGGTTTTTTTTACAGGCCATTATATGTGGTGGGGGTGCGAGCATTTTCGCCACATTTGGTTTGCTGCCCGACACCTCAAAGTTAATCATTAATAGTTTTATTACTATCAATCTGATCACTTTCATTTTGATTCTGTGTACTGATAAAGGATGTAGAAATTATTTGACATAATTTTGTTTTGAAAATTTTTTTAAATGGCCGCCATTTTGTTTTGTCGTGTTTTGCCTTCTCAGCACTTAAATTTACATAAAAATGAACACCGAATGTTTCCATTTACATCCAAAGTTGATACTATTGATGTGTTTTGACACTTATTTCCCCTAGAGTGTTGGCTTGGGCACAAAACAAGTCATTTTGTATGGTCATAGCATGGTAATTTAATGTTTTACAGCTTATTCTTTGAGACAGGGGTATTTTTGCAATTCTCCGACTTTTCATGGAAATGTGTGAGGGTGATTGATTTAATGGCAGTTAACATTTTTGTTACTAAAACAGACAGACAGACAGGTTTATTTCATAGATGTGGCCATGAGGCCAATAGTATAAAATGACAATTTAGATTAAATTTTTACAGAGCGCATAGACATGATTTTGTTTACAAAAATTGCTAGACGTATTATGGTTCTTAGTATTTAGAAGATGTACAAATTTTTGTTTATTTGGGTTCATAATATAGATACTTGGTATGTAGTGAGTTCTTACTGCTGCATATAAAGGACATTTCATTAACACATGATACTCATCTTCTGGTACATTTTTACAATAATCGCACATAGTTACACTAATGTCATTGTCTTTAGATCTTCTATACGAAACTATTTATAAATTGGTGGAGCCGCATCTGAATTCTGTTAAGACTCTGCGCAGATGTAACGAAGAGAGTGCGATCAAATACAATTCAGGAACAATATCAGATTTAAAGGCAGAATACATATGTAATGATTTTGAGTTTCTTATATCTTGTGTCCATTCTTGATAGTACATGTACATTTACAACGTTGTTTGAAAAGATTTAAAAACAATTCCCAGTTTCCCACATTTTGATATGTCCATACATAAGCAAATCCAAGTTGAAATAATATTGATCGTACTGCCGAAGCCCAGTTAATATCTCCATTGTCGTCTAAACGTTTCAACATATCATACGAGCGACGTGGGTAACGTGTGTCTGGTTGCCGAAGCAGACGTATCCAGAACGAAACAACTCGTGTCATATAATTTACATGTAAAGGGTATCTCCCACATTCTGCTAAAACTGCCTTGTTCGATGTGCGATAGCCAACGTTTAGAACGTTTTTACAAAATTTGAATGTACTTTTTCTATTCTATGGCGGATAACAGTTCCCCAAATTTCTGCTCCATATAATAATATAGGTTGGATTTTACAGTCAAAGATTTTGAAAAATATATCGAACGGAATTGTTTTATATCTGTACATGAATTTCTTAATAGGAAATAATGCTTTCTCTGCTTGCTTACACAAAACACCACAAGCTTTTGTGAATATATTTCTACAAGATAACGTTAATCCCAGATACTTATAATAGGAGACAGTTTCTAGTTTCTCTGTTCCAATTGACCATTTTTCTCTTTCTGCTATTCTACCACCTTTTTTAAAAACTATGACCTTTGTCTTATTTGTATTTATTGACAATCCCCGTTTCGTACAATACTGTTCTAAGATATCTATCTTTTTCTGTAGTTAACAACGCTGTCTCCAAATATAGCGACATCATCCGCAAACAGAAGAATTGACAGTGCATTTATAGTCTCATCAATAAAAGCGCCACTATAGTCGCTGTTTATGATGTCGTTAACTAGTTCATCAATGTACATAATAAATAGGATTGTTTTTGTTTTCTCTTTACTTCTAGAGTGACGGCATATTTCTAGGGATTTTTATATATTACCCAGAATTCAAAATTGAAACCAAAATGGCCGCCATTGTAGTTTAACTACATATACTTATTGGAGGACTAAATTTGTACTGATATGAAATCCAAACAAATCATTTGGTGTCTAATGTTTAATACAGTATAGGAATAGAGCTAAATTTCAATGATAGGGTCAATCAAAGTTTCACACTCCTAAAATAGTTGATGAAATAACATTATCCAAATGTGTTTGAAAACTATGCTTCATATCCGATAACTACGTCTAAGCTTTGGTTGTAGGTATTCAAATTGTTCTATCAGATAACTCTTAATCACTTTTGATACATCCATAAGCTTGCAATTAACCCTCCTTTTCACTTTCTTTCATTTCATATGTTACTTCATGTCAGAATCGGACCTTTGAAGATTCAGGTTAGAATTGATCTTCAATAACCCATGCTTGTTGTAAGAGGCGACTAACGGGATCTGGTTTTCAGGCTCGCTGACTGGGTTGACACATGTCATCGTATCCCAATTGCACAGATTGATGTTCATGCTGTTGATCCCTGGGTTGTCTGGTCCACACTCGATTATTAACAGACTGTCGCCATATAGCTGGAATATTACTGAGTGCGTAAAACTAAACTCACTAACTCACTCATGTCAGAATCGGAGTCATCTACTGGCAACACGTCAAAGGTGTTCGGGCAACAATCATTTGCCATACAAAAAGATATGCCTCTGTGCACACTATATCATTCTTTCTGCTGGCATGCAGACTTTTTGCATTTACACGATGTCAGTTCAACCAATCCATGGGGAGCAGGATCTCTCGACATCAGAATAGCTGACCATCACATATGCTCCAACCATGGTCAACTGGTGAAAGAATGTTCATGATTGGTTGCAGAGACTGTTTCCAAACATGGACTTTGAAGTTTACTCGTTCAATGTGATGTTTTAGACTGTTGGATGTTGGTGGGAGGTTTTCATTCAATATCTTGTGTCATCTACAGACTTCACTTCACTAAACAAGCTGTAGTGTACAACACACTAAACAAGCTGTAGTGTACAACACACTAAACAAGCTGTACTGTACAACACACTAAACAGGCTGTAGTGTACAACACACTAAACAAGCTGTAGTGTACAACACACTAAGCAAGCTGTAGTGTACAACACACTAAACAAGCTGTAGTGCACAACACACTTAACAAGCTATATTGTACAACACACTTAACAAGCTATAGTGTACAACACACTAAACAAGCTGTAGTGCACAACACACTAAAGAACCTGTAGTGTCCAACACACTAAACAAGCTGTAGTGTCTAACACACTAAAGAATCTGTAGTGTACAACACACGAAAGAACCTGTAGTGTACAACACACTAAAGAATCTGTAGTGTACAACACACTAAACAAGCTGTAGTGTACAACACACTAAACAAGCTATAGTGTACAACACACTAAAGAATCTGTAGTGTACAACACACTAAACAAGCTGTAGTGTACAGCACACTAAACAAGCTGTAGTGTACAGCACACTAAACAAGCTGTAGTGTACAACACACTAAACAGGCTGTAGTGTACTGCACACTAAACAAGCTGTAGTGGATAACACTAAATAAGCTGTAGTGTATAACACTAAACAAGCTGTGGTGTATAACACTAAACAAGCTATAGTGTATAACACACTAAACAAGCTGTAGTGTATAACACACTAAACAAGCTGTAGTGTACAGCACGCTAAACAAGCTGTAGTATATAACACTAAACAAGCTGTAGTGTACAGCACACTAAACAAGCTGTAGTGTACAGCACACTAAACAAGCTGTAGTGTACAGCACACTAAACAGGCTGTAGTGTACAGCACACTAAACATGCTGTAGTTTATAACAATAAACAATCTGTAGTGTATAACACACTAAACAAGCTGTAGTGTATAACACACTAAACAAGCTGTAGTGTATAACACTAAACAAGCTGTAGTGTACAGCACACTAAAGAATATGTAGTGTACAACACACTAAACAAGCTGTAGTGTACAACAAACTAAGCAAGCTGTAGTGTACAACACACAAAACAAGCTGTAGTGTTCAACACACTTAACAAGCTCTATTGTACAACACACTAAACAAGCTATAGCGTACAACACACTAAACAAGCTGTAGTGCACAACACACTAAGGAACCTGTAGTGTACAACACACTAAACAAGCTGTAGTGTATAACACACTAAACAAGCTGTAGTGTACAACACACTAAAGGACATGTAGTGTACAACACACTAAAGAATCTGTAGTGTACAACACACTAAAGAATCTGTAGTGTACAACACACTAAACAACCTGTAGTGTATAACACTAAACAAGCTGCAGTGTACAACACACTAAAGAACCTGTAGTGTACAACACACTAAAGAATCTGTAGTGTACAACACACTAAAGAATCTGTAGTGTACAACACACTAAACAAGCTGTAGTGTATAACAGTAAACAAGCTGTAGTGTACAACACACTAAACAAGCTATAGTGTACAACACACTAAACAAGCTGTAGTGTATAACACTAAAGAATCTGTAGTGGATAACACTAAACAAGCTGTAGTGTATAACACTAAACAAGCTGTGGTGTATAACACTTAACAAACTATAGCGTACAACACACTAAACAAGCTGTAGTGCACAACACACTAAGGAACCTGTAGTGTACAACACACTAAACAAGCTGTAGTGTATAACACACTAAACAGGCTGTAGTGTACAACACACTAAAGGACATGTAGTGTACAACACACTAAAGAATCTGTAATGTACAGCACACTAAACAAGCTGTAGTGTACAGCACACTAAACAAGCTGTAGTGTATAACAATAAACAAGCTGTAGTGTATAACACACTAAAGAACCTGTAGTGTATAACACACTAAACAAGCTGTAGTGTATAACACACTAAACAAGCTGTAGTGTACAGCACACTAAACAAGCTGTAGTGTACAGCACACTAAACAAGCTGTAGTGTATAACAATAAACAAGCTGTAGTGTATAACACACTAAAGAACCTGTAGTGTATAACACACTAAACAAGCTGTAGTGTATAACACACTAAACAAGCTGTAGTGTACAGCACACTAAACAAGCTGTAGTGTACTGCACACTAAACAAGCTGTAGTGTATAACAATAAACAAGCTGTAGTGTATAACACACTAAACAAGCTGTAGTGTATAACACACTAAACAAGCTGTAGTGTATAACACTAAACAAGCTGTAGTGTACAGCACACTAAAGAATATGTAGTGTACAACACACTAAACAAGCTGTAGTGTATTACACTAAATATATTTGTATTGCTGTAGTGCATAGTTTCCAGATGTTTCCCTGGATGCCCAATTGATGTAACTTGTAAAATAGACCATCGTGCCATGTTCTGTCAAATGCTTTTTGTTATCTAAAAAGGCAGCATATACTGTAGAGTTTCTCTCAATGTAATATTTGGTACTTTCAATAAGAGCAAAAACCCTCATAACTGCGCCATGTTCCTTTCTAAATCCAAATTGGAGTATATCAGGGAAATAAGGATTATTTTCAAGTAATTTAGTTTCTATACGTTTAAGTAATAGCTTCTCAAAAAGTTTTCCAAGGCATGACGTTAGAGTAATTCCCCTATAGTTTCGGGGATCGGATATTTCCTTTTTACCTTTATAGATTGGAATGACCATACCAAGTCTATAAGTAAAAGGCACATAGCGAAATTTAATTATTTTGTTAAAGAGGTCACAAAGGTGTGTAATGAGACACTGCCCCCCGTGGATAATGTGCTCATTTGTAATGTTATCTGGGCCTCGAGATTTGTGTTTGCACAGAGATTTGACAGTCTCTCGTACCTCGTTATCTGTAAGATCCCTTTCCAGTCCTTCATCGATTAAATAGTCATCTAATGCTTCAATAACTGCAACCCTCTGACATATTTCATCTTTAAATTCATCATCAAACATCTGTGAGGTGTGTGGCTGAGCTAAGTCCGAGTAATATTTACTCCACAGTCTACATATACCAGCAGGTGTTGATTCATTTTCATTATCATAGTTAAGTGTGGTTATAACATCAGTTGTGGATCTTTGTTTTCTGACAGTTTTGTAAAAGGTATTGATATCAAGTTTAGCTGCATGTTCAATATCAGTCAAAATCCCACGCTTTTTAGATCTTTTAGATTTTCAATGCAGACGTCTAAAGTTTGACTTTTCAGTTTTATATGATAATTATACATTCGAGTCGTCACTTCTGGGCTTACCACTGTTAACCCATGCTCTACGAGCAACTCTCATACGGTAGTGGGCATTATCTAAACCATCCTGTTTCCAGTATTGCTTTCGATAAGGCGTGAATGTACTTTGTGGGATACATTTACAGCTGGCCTGTATAAGGCCGTTAGTAATAATCTGACAATGGTTTTCTATAACTTGACAATGGTCAGTTGTAGATTGTGTGCTTGGGTGATATACAAAACTGAGATATTTTTCTATTTCATACTCAAACATATCTAAGTTGTCCCTGTTAGCTCTGTTCCATTTTGGGACTTTAGGGTTTTTGTTAAAATCATCACGGCGTAGGACGTGTTCTGAAAGGGACAAAAGACAAGGAAAGTATAACCCAAGGAGCCAGTTGTAACATATTACACACCAAACCAGCTGTACTGTATCTCACAACAAATTGTAATGTGTAACCAGCCAGTTGTAACATATCATAATGTATAATACACCAAACCAACTGGCATGTATGTATATATATTATAAGACTAAGCGTCACCCTGACATCGCTGCAATCAAGTTGTAAAGTCGTGGTCCAGACGCTCACACCAATGTGTAACTCTCACAGTCAGGCTCAATGTTTCTACTTGGGTTATTGTGGACACAGACCCCTCGTGGTCCATCCGAGGCTCACACCAATGTGTAACTCTCACAGTCAGGCTCCATGTTTCTACTTGGGTTATTGTGGACACCGACCCCTCGTGGTCCATCCGAGGCTCACACCAATGTGTAACTCTCACAGTCAGGCTCCATGTTTCTACTTGGGTTATTGTGGACACCGACCCCTCGTGGTCCTTCAGACGCTCACACCAATGACAGTCAGGCTCAATGTTTCTACTTGGGTTATTGTGGACACCGACCCCTCGTGGTCCTTCAGACGCTCATACCAATGTGTAACTCACACATTCAGGCTCAATGTTTCTACTTGGGTTATTATCCCTGCTGAGGGTCACTTAATCCAATAAGCGCGGATAATGACGTCATCTACTCTATAGTCTTTATTGTACAAGTGTAGTTCATTGACTTTTGAAGACTCCCCTCGGAGATCTAGACGTGATCTAACGGGTAACACGAAGACTGACATTACAAGTGTGTCAGTATGACAGAACAGCACTGTGAACATGGTGAATGTCCAACTGCTTGAATCACTGCACACCAATGCTCCTGTATAGTCCCTTACATAAAACGCAACAACTACAAGTACATCCTGCTTGCATATATGGAACGAGCTATAAGACACATGCAACCACTGCATTTGTGGATCTACCGAGGTTTATAAGCCTGTCAACATGCAGAACAGAAGACCAGTCCTTGTGTTGGATGGCTCGGGTCGGACCGTTCTATGAACAACATTTGAAATTTGGAGACGGAGAAATCTGAGAGTTGTACTTATCTGGCTTTTAGATAAGTAATGTCGTGGCTTGCTCTCCGAATATAATAAGGTACAGTTCTCGTAATAATATGAACATTGTTTTCAATATGGTGACTTGTAAAGTACATTGCGCACAGTGTACAAAGAGGATACTACCCTCGGTTTCGTTACATACCTTCTAAACGGAAGCAGTGCACTCCCTACGGTATCTGAACGAGTTTGGTATCATTTTAATATGCCAGTGCCATATATATCATATGTGCACGTGTGCACATATCACCTTTGCCTAACAACCATTGATTCTGTATTTCGTCGTCTCTGACATTATTAAATAATGGAACGTAACATCAATTAACAGGGCCGTCTTGCTTACCGAGTTTTACTGTACAAATGTAAATAAATATAATGGATTATAAAGAAATTATTACACTCGCCAGGGATCGTCCATCTCTCTCTTACGTTTGTATATAGCTTTGTCGTCAGTGACACATTGCGTACAGTACACATATGATGACCTTCTGTATCTAGGGTTACGTTAGTGACACATTGTGTACAGTACACATATGATGTATTGTATGCGGAGTGTGCGTTAGTGACACATTGTGTACAGTACACATATGATGACCTTCTGCATGTAGAGTGTACGTTAGTGAGACATTCTCTACAGTACACACATGATGACCTTCTGAATGTAGAGAGTAGGCTAGTTACATATTGTGTACAGTACACATATGATGACCTTCTGCATGCAGATTTTGCGTCAGTGAGACATTGTCGCCAGGGATGACGTGTACGTTAGTGACAATATGTCTACAGTACACATATGATGACATTCTGTATGTAAAGTGTATGTTAGTAAGACATTATGTAGAGTACACATATTGTGACCTGCAGTATGAATAGTGTACGTTAGTGAGACATTGTGTACAGTACACACATGATGATCTTCTGTATGTAGAGGGTACGTTAGTGACACATTGTGCACAGTTCACATATGATGTCCTTCTGTATGTAGGGTTACGTTAATAACACATTATGTACAGTACACATATGATGACCTTCTGTATGTGGGGTTACGTTAGTGACACATTGCGTACAGTTCACATATGATGACCTTCTGTATGTACAGTGTACTTTAGTGACACATTGTGTACAGTTCACATATGATGTCCTTCTGCATGTAGGGTTACACTAGTGACACATTGTGTACAGTACACATATGATGACCTTCTGTATCTAGAGTGTACGTTAGTGACACATTGTGTACAGTACACATATGACGTCCTTCTGTATGTAGGGTTATGTTAGTGACACATTGTGTACATTACACATATGATGACATTCTGTATGTACAGTGTACGTTAGGGACACATTGTGTACAGTACACATGTGATGACCTTCTGAGTGTGGAGTGAACATTAGTTACACATTGTGTACAGTACACGTATGATGTCCTTCTGTATGTAGGGTTAAGTTAGTGACACATTGTGTACAGTACACATATGATGACATTCTGTATGTACAGTGTACGTTAGGGACACATTGTGTACAGTACACATATGATGACCTTCTGTATCTAGAGTGTACGTTAGTGACACATTGTGTACAGTACACATATTACGACCTTCTTTATGTAGGGTTATGTTAGTGACACATTGTGTACATTACGCATATGATGACATTTTGTATGTAGAGTTACGTTAGTGACACATTGTGTACAGTGCACATGTGATTACCTTCTGTATGTGGGGTTACGTTAGTGACACATTATGTACAGTACACATTTGATGAACTTCTGTATGTAGGGTTACGTTAGTGACACATTGCATACAGTACACATTTGATGACATTCTGTATGTAGAGTGTACGTTAGTGACACATTGTGTACAGTACACATATGATGACCTGAGTGTGGAGTGAACGTTAGTTACACATTGTGTACAGTACACATATGACGTCCTTCTGTATGTGGGGTTAAGTTAGTGACACATTGTGTACAGTTGACATATGATGACCTGAGTGTGGAGTGAACGTTAGTTACACATTGTGTACAGTACACATATGACGTCCTTCTGTATGTGGGGTTAAGTTAGTGACACATTGTGTACAGTTGACATATGATGACCTGAGTGTGGAGTGAACGTTAGTTACACATTGTGTACAGTACACATATGACGTCCTTCTGTATGTGGGGTTAAGTTAGTGACACATTGTGTACAGTTGACATATGATGACATTCTGTATGTAGAGTGTAAGGTAGTGACACATTGTGTACAGTTCACATATGATGTCCTTCTGTATGTAGGGCTGCGTTAGTGACGCATTGTGTACAGTACACATATGATGTCCTTCTGTATGTAGGGTTAAGTTAGTGACACATTGTGTACAGTACACATATGATAACCTTCTGTATCTAGGGTAACGTTAGTGACACATTCTGTACAGTTCACATATGATGTCCTTCTGTATGTAGGGCTGCGTTAGTGACGCATTGTGTACAGTACACATATGATGTCCTTCTGTATGTAGGGTTACGTTAGTGTCACATTGTGTACAGTACACATATGATGTCCTTCTGTATGTAGGGTTAAGTTAGTGACACATTGTGTACAGTACACATATGATAACCTTCTGTATCTAGGGTAACGTTAGTGACACATTCTGTACAGTTCACATATGATGTCCTTCTGTATGTAGGGTTACGTTAGTGACACATTGCATACAGTACACATATGATGACCTTCTGTATCTAGAGTGTACGTTAGTGACACATTGTGTACAGTACACATATGACGTCCTTCTGTATGTGGGGTTAAGTTAGTGACACATTGTGTAAAGTACACATATGATGACATTCTGTATGTACAGTGTACGTTAGTGACACATTATGTACAGTTCACATATGATGACCTTCTGTATGTAGAGTGTAAGGTAGTGACACAATGTGTACAGTGCACATATGATGTCCTTCTGTATGTAAGGTTACGTTAGTGACACATTGTGTACAGTACACATATGATGGCCTTCTGTGTCTAGGGTTAAGTTAGTGACGCATTGTGTACAGTACAAATGTGATGACCTTCTGTATGTAGGGCTACGTTAGTGACACATTGTGTACAGTACACATATGATGTCCTTCTGTATGTAGGGTTACGTTAGTGACACATTGCGTTCAGTAGACATATGATGTCCTTCTGTATGTAGAGTGTACGTTAGTGACACGTTGTGTACAGTTCACATACGAATACCTCGTGTATGTGCAGCGTACGTTAGCGACACATTGTGGACAGTACACAGATGATAACCTTCTGTATGTACAGTGTACGTTAGTGACACATTATTTACAGTACACATATTATGACCTTCTGCATGTGGGGTTACGTTAGTGACGCATTGTGTAGAGTACACGCATGATGACCTTCTGTATGTAGGGTTAAGTTAGTGACACATTGTGTACAGTACACATATTATGACCTGTATGTAGGGTTACGTTAGTGACGCATTGTGTACAGTACACACATGATGACCTTGGGTATGTAGTGTTAAGTTAGTGACACATTGTGTACAGTACACATATGGTGACCTTATGTATGTAGAGTGTACGTTAGTGTCAGATTGTGTACAGTACACATATGATGTCCTTCTGTATGTAGGGTTACACTAGTTACACATTGTGTACAGTACACATACGATGTCCTTCTGTATGTAGGGTTACGTTAGTGACACATTGTGTACAGTACACATGTGATGACCTTCTGTGTGTGGAGTGTACGTTAGATACACATTGTGTACAGTACACATATGACGTCCTTCTTTACGTACAGTGTACGTTAGTGACACATTGTGTACAGTACACTTATGATGACCTTCCGTATGTAGAGTGTAAGGTAGGGACACATTGTGTACAGTACACATATGATGACTTTCGGTATGTAGGGTTACGTTAGTGACACATTGTGTACAGTACACATATGATGACATTCTGTATGTAGAGTGTACGTTAGTGACACAGTGTGTACAGTTCACATATGATGACCTTCTGTATGTAGAGTGAACGTTAGTGACACTTTGTGTACAGCACACATATGATGACCTTTTGTATGTAGAGTGTACGTTAGGGACACATTGTGTACAGTGCATATATGATGACCTTCTGTATGAAGAGTGTACGTTAGTGACACATTGTGTACAGTACACATATGACGTCCTTCTTTATGTATAGTGTACGTTAGTGACACATTGTGTACAGTACACATATGATGACCTTCTGTATGTAGAGTGTAAGGTAGGGACACATTGTGTACAGTACACATATGATGACTTTCGGTATGCAGGGTTACGTTAGTGACACATTGTGTACAGTACACATATGATGACCTTCTGTATGTAGAGTGTACGTTAGTGACACATTGTGTACAGTTCACATATGATGACCTTCTGTTTGTAGACTGTAGAGTGAGCGTTGGTGACACTTTGTGTACAGTACACATATGATGACCTTTTGTATGTAGAGTGTACGTTACTGACACATTGTGTACAGTGCATATATCATGACCTTCTGTATGTAGAGTGTACATTAGAGATACATTGCGTACAGAACACATATGATGACCTTCTGTATGTAGAGTGTACATTAGAGACACATTGCGTACAGAACACATATGATGACCTTCTGTATGTGAAGTGTGCGATAGGGGAATCGTGTGTACAGTACACATATGATGACCTTCTGTATGTAGAGTGTACGTTATTGACACATTATGTACAGTGCACATATGATGACCTTCTGTATGTAGTGTTACGTTAGTGACACATTGTGTACAGTGCACATATGATAACCTTCTGTATATAGGTTTATGTTAGTGACACATTGTGTACAGTACACATATGATGCCCTTGTGTATGTAGGGTTACATTAGTGACACCTTATCTACAGGATACATATGATGACCTTCTGTATGTAGGTTTACGTTAGTGACACATTGTCTACAGTACACATAAGATGTCCTTCTGTATGTAGAGCGTGCGTCAGTTATTTATTGTCTACAGTACACACATGATGACCTTCTGTATGTAGAGTGTACGTTAGTGACACATTGTCTACAGTACACATAAGATGTCCTGTATGTAGAGTGTGCGTCAGTTATTTATTGTCTACTGTACACATATGATGACCTTCTGTATGTGGAGTGTACGTTATGTATCCATTGTGTACAGTACACATATGATTACCTTCTGAATGTAGGGTTACGTTAGTGAGATATTGTGTACAGTACTCACATGGTGACCTTATGTGTGTAGAAGCTCCTGTTTTCGGTGTTATCATCAAACAGTTATATATATTGTCCCACGATATACCGAAGAAGCGGGCATTCACGAAAATGGGTTTTAGTGGTTGTACGGTCAATGACCATCATGCTAAAACACAGCTTGGTTGGCTGCATATCAAAGCAAAGGGTTTAAACATTTTGGTTACGCTTATGATCCTGCAGACTGTTTGTATGTTTTGCATCATGAGAAATTTAACCGAATCAAGTGTGCAAGCAAGTTTCTCAAAAAAGAAAGACGGACACGAAGGCAGATCCTTTACAAACAAAGACAGTCAAGCTATAGCTTATAGCTTCCCCATTTTCAAAAACACTCACACGTTATTTCATTAGCATATGGTTTAGCCAACAGTCCTAAATACATTTACTTCGGTACACAGGCACGTGAACGTCTTTCTGCACTCAGTCGAAATGATGAAATACATCAATATAAAGCAAAGTTGCTTTTTCACCACCATGTGTGTGATGTGCTGGTTTGGTAAAAGTGAACAGTTCATAGGTGTGATGTACTTCTAGTTTAGTGTCTCTCCAACACGAATGATAGGTTTGCATACATACATCGTCAGCCTTTCTTTACCAGAGCAAGTAGTTGACGTATGCGCGCAAGGCAACAACAGCTTGTACAGTGTTCTTTATATCGTGAAATGTGACTGCGGGTGATGTGTCATTGTCCCGTCAGTTGACACAAACCACCAACTATGTTGACGCTGAAATGTAGTGTGACTATTTTATTCACGTCAGGCAAGCTGTTCACGTCTCAGTGGTTAACCAAGTTCCACCATTTTTTTATTTTTTCGAATAAATTTTGGGCACGTTGGCTTAGACAGTATTGACTCGCCTATGTGATTGCTATCACCGCAGAAGACGACGACAGCAGCGGCAGCATGTACCTTAACCACTACAACAGGTCCTCCTCGTTCCCCAGCATACTGATCCAGTATGACACGCCACGTCTCGCTAAACAGGTGAGAACATATGAACAGCAATGATTTCTAAACAGACACTTCAATACACAGATACATCAGGTGAAATCACACAGAAGGCTTTTGACAATCTCAGTGGGATACACAGACACCTCAGGTGAAATCACACAGAAAGCTTTCACAGTCTCAGGTGAAATCACACAGAAGGCTTTCACAGTCTCAGTGGGATACACAGACACCTCAGGTGAAATCACACAGAAGGCTTTCACAGTCTCAGTGACATACACAGACACCTCGGGTGAAATCACACAGAAAGCTTTCACAGTCTCAGTGGGATACACAGACACCTCAGGTGAAATCACACAGAAGGCTTTCACAGTCTCAGTGACATACACAGACACCTCAGGTGAAATCACACAGAAAGCTTTCACAGTCTCAGTGGGATACACAGACACCTCAGGTGAAATCACACAGAAGGCTTTCACAGTCTCAGTGACATACACAGACACCTCGGGTGAAATCACACAGAAGGCTTTCACAGTCTCAGTGACATACACAGACACCTCAGGTGAAATCACACGGAAGGCTTTCACAGTCTCAGTGGGATACACAGACACCTCGGGTGAAATCACACAGAAGGCTTTCACAGCCTCAGTGGGATACACAGACACCTCGGGTGAAATCACACAGAAGGCTTTCACAGTCTCAGTGACATACACAAACACCTCAGGTAAAATCACACAGAAGGCTTTCACAGTCTCAGTGGGATACACAGACACCTCAGGTGAAATCACACAGAAAGCTTTCACAGTCTCATTGGGATACACAGACACCTCAGGTGAAATCACACAGAAAGCTTTCACAGTCTCAGTGGGATACACAGACACCTCAGGTGAAATCACACAGAAGGCTTTCACAGTCTCAGTGACATACACAGACACCTCAGGTGAAATCACACAGAAAGCTTTCACAGTCTCAGTGACATACACAGACACCTCAGGTGAAATCACACAGAAAGCTTTCACAGTCTCAGTGACATACACAAGCACCTCAGGTGAAATCGCACAGAAAGCTTTCACAGTCTCAGTGACATACACAAGCACCTCAGGTAAAATCACACAGAAGGCTTTCACAGTCTCAGTGGGATACACAGACACCTCAGGTGAAATCACACAGAAAGCTTTCACAGTCTCATTGGGATACACAGACACCTCAGGTGAAATCACACAGAAAGCTTTCACAGTCTCAGTGGGATACACAGACACCTCAGGTGAAATCACACAGAAGGCTTTCACAGTCTCAGTGACATACACAGACACCTCAGGTGAAATCACACAGAAAGCTTTCACAGTCTCAGTGACATACACAGACACCTCAGGTGAAATCACACAGAAAGCTTTCACAGTCTCAGTGACATACACAAGCACCTCAGGTGAAATCGCACAGAAAGCTTTCACAGTCTCAGTGACATACACAAGCACCTCAGGTGAAATCGCACAGAAAGCTTTCACAGTCTCAGTGACATACACAAGCACCTCAGGTGAAATCACACAGAAAGCTTTCACAGTCTCAGTGGGATAAAAGGTCAGTTCAAGTGACGTTAGATGTGAGGCTTTCACAGTCTCAGAGACAGGGTTTCACAGAATTAGTGACATACACAAACACCTCAGATGAAATGACATGGAAGGCTTTCACAGTCTCAGTGGCATGCAAGGACATTATCTGTTCTTCCGGATTGGAAACAAAATGCGAAATACTTTCATCGGAGAAGCCCTCAATTCATGACTTACATTACAAAGTCTAACGTCGAGGTAAAGATGGGTAATTCACATATTTTACTGACACTTCTATTAATATCTTAACGTGGCATATACAGTCTTACTAAAAAATGCAAACTGAATATGGGCGCCATGTTTAATGATGTATAATGTCAACAGTCAATCTTAGCTTTACAGACGCAGTCTTTGGGTGGATTGTATCAGAAAATCGCCATCAGAAGTTCTCTTAAACGTTCTAGTATGTACCTTGTGTAAAGATTCCCAGATTTCAACTGATCTCTAGACGTGTGAGTATTATGTTGAACAGTTATGGTCTGTCACATAGGGATGACTTTACGTTTATGTACGTAGGTGCACTGGTCACGTCGAACCAAGGAGGAGGAACGAAGTAAGGGAATAAGACAGAGCGGAGATGATCTGGACAGACTAGAGAACATAGTGGAGAAGAAAGGGAGAACGGAGGTAAGAGAGCAGTGGGGTAATAATAACAATAATATATGTATTTCTATAGCGCATATATTCACACAGCAGTATGCTCTGTGCGCTACTCAGACAAGGTGAATGTAGGAGAAATGTCTTTTGAAAGAGACAAGTCTTTAGATTATTGTTTAAGGAAGGCACGGTTTCAGCTATTTTGAGGGATGTAGGCAGCTCATTCCATAAGGTTGAGAATATCACATTGCAGTATTGCAGAGATAAAGTGTGATTATAGAGACTGAAGGTAGATGGGAGTAATGTAACATCCCTGAGAGAGGAACAGCTATATGAAGGAAAGGTTAGGTTAGGAGACAGAAAAGGTAAACGTCCGAGGTTAAGGATGGGAGCCAGTTGGTACACCACTGCACAAAGCTGTATTCTAAGGTGAAAAGGACCGGAAAGGGTATCCATTATATAATTCAATCACAGACATTTGTCCAGACAAGTACAAGCCGACAGACAAGGCACATCCGCACGCACACACGCACGCGCGCGCGCGCACACACACACACACACACACACACACGTAGACTTAATGCGACTGTCGTCTCGACAACATTTGAAGATTCTTTGTAAAAAGAATTCATATCAAATGGCTTAATTGCAAACACTCAGTGTTATCACTTTAATGTTCAATATGACACGTACAACCGACAATGTATCGGCCTCATACGAATAAGCTAAGATATTACGTCACCCAGCAGATGCGGGCCCTGAAACTTGAAGCGATTGCGAGGGAACAGCTAGCCAGGTATGACAGCTATATCCAGCGGCTCAACGACAAGGTGGCCCGACAGAGGGCGGAGATGAGACGCCGCACAGAGGAGACTGAGACCCGGATCCTGGCACAGGAGCAACAGGTACAACTTCCCTTGTATGTAAAGCCAATGGCAGCTTCTGACGACAGCTGGATATGTCTACAGCCATTTTGAGCAGCTTTACCGTGAGGTTTCGTGTCTCTGGGTAATTCTTAGCCACGTTGTTTCAGCGACGACGTGAACGGAAAGCCAGGAAAACACAACCTCTCCCTCCAATAAACAACCCTGACCATTTCAAGAAATATCCAAAACAAAATTTGGCAAGGTCAGTAACAAAATTGTCCAACTGTGTTTTTGTTGATTACATCTTAATATGGCTCTGTATTAATGATGTCTTTAAGAATTAAAAGGCAGAATATACATGTAAAATATAGTTTGTCGATATTGTTGCGTTAGCCGGGGTCTTCAATTGATAACACTTTTGTGTTTCAACGGGTTTATTGATGACGACTGTCAACAAGCCATAATGATTTGACATTGTTTTATATCTCGTACGTAATCTGTTTTTGCCTGTTGAAGTTGTTTGTTCATTACATTGTTTTATTAATACATGATTATGTTTAACTCTGTATGGAGTGCAATATTTCCGCCCGACAGGGTGTTGTTTTTGTTAAATACAATGTAGTGTATTCATGCTTCTTACACGTAGACCGTGCTCCTCGGAGACGTCTTGAAAAGGAAGGGCTTCCTGCGCTGTCAGGAGGAAGTGGATCGGTTCTGGCACACTAATATGATCGGCCACAACGTAGGTCAGCACTCATCTGCCTAGTCCCTGCACTACTGCCCATTGATATGGCTTCTGCAACACAGGAATCGGATACCCCATGCGGACGACGCTGTCTTCCTTCGCCTGTAATCAAAGATATGTTCCAGCCTGCCTCGTTTATTTTACATCCATGCGCTGGATCACCGGCTGCTAAAGACCAAGGGAAGTACCTGCAGAGAGGTACATGGGTGTCTCCTGGTACTGTGTCATTACGTCCGACAAAATACTTGAGTGAGTGAGTGAGTTCAGATTTCTCGTCACATCGGGGTATTTCAGCCTTTTAGGGACTGAAACAAGTTATGCATTCATCACAGACGAATCCAGGATATGAAATACGTAGAGCAGTAAAAGCATCAAGAATATCAAGATATACAGCATTATAATCTGAAATGTAGACAATACAATATATAACAGGCTATATATCGCAAACAAGTGAAGGTAGATCACCATACTAAGGACAGTAATCACTTACATTACTTTTCCTTCCTGCATGGACCCTAGCTAGATTTACACCGTCACTTCATCCGTTGGCGTTGTGCTATTTATCTATTTACAAAATATATTTATCCAAAATTTTCAAACAATTGAATTTCTTTTAACAAATCAATAATTAAATAACAACTAACATTACCAAAACGATCCTTGACTGTTTTCACGGTGAAATGTTTCCCCCTTGTCATGGACAAAATCAACACAGTCAATCAGAACATGCTTGAACACGTGATTCTTTCATCGCAGGGGATGCAAAATAGCGGATTCTCACCTTTCACATAAGTATTCAGGTGTATATCGTGGATGGCCAATACGGCATCGTCGCATAATGATTTCGTCTAACCTGGACTAACAACCCATGTAGGTGTAACCGATAGTTGGTTTAACTTCATGTCATTTATTGACACCTACTTGAGTGTCCCACTTGTTTTGTATTAAATCTCTAATGCAACATCTAATTATTGGTTTATAATCTGTGTAGGGGATGGTAAGTGGTGTCACAGATTGGTCAATCTCAAGATGACATGTGATATGTAATATACAATAATAGTATTCTTTAGAATATAGTTACTGTAATAGATTCACATGCTTTAGAACACAATCATTTAAGAACAGAGCCAACTCATTTTCATTGGCAAGTGTCTGCAGACACACCGATGTCATGAGTATGCGCCTCTGAATGTATGAACATACTAGTTTTTTACGTTGGTACGCATAGTTGGGATGTAGACGTGCAGACAATACACGAACATAACATACATACAGTATATTCGCAAGAGGGAATACCGACAGCTAGATATTAGTTAATTGGTACTTGTCGCAAAGCTACGTTAGAGTCATGACATTATACCTTACACCTAACATATTTAGTTTGAAGCGAGCAGCGTAAGAAATGTCTTACCTTAAAGAAGGGTGTTGAGTTGTCGGCGTTTATTAGGCGGAGGCAGAGTGAGGCAGGCATCACGACAGCCGTTAATACAATTCAAGCCTTTATTAATAATTGTTTTTATTATTTACATACATGTTTTACATAACGCACCCTGTGACGCAAGGTTAACACATGTATATAACAAATACAACATATCTCCCACGGGATGTCTCCACAACACCTCTACTTCAAGGTAAAGAATCTGCGGAATGAGTGGTCGGTATGAACAATAGTTTCCATGGTATCTCCGAGTGTGTTAAGTAGCAAGTGAAATGCGTTGGCAACCCCTGCAGATAGGTGTACTGGGTCCCAGTGACATGCGTGGTGTCATCCATCCACTGTTATAACGACATGATGGTGACTGAAACGTATTGTTGCCAACTTGATATCCTGATTATTGCTCTACACCTTTCTGATACATTCTGGTGTTATTCACATCACCACGTACAGATGCACTTCAAACGTGATCTTGTTTATTCATAAAAATATTCAATACAAATGCAATATTTTTATACAAAGATGTTAGTCGCATGTTCGATAACTGGCTAGGTGCATAAACGCAACCATTTTTAACTTATGTGCAGTGACAATGACTATAAAGGGTCAAACGTCATTAACCATTTGTCATCTGTTTGTCCACTTACTGGAAGTGGGAAAATGTAGAGGCTGAATATTGCCGATCGCAACATTGCCATATGACTTCTGAAAACGGAGAGTCCCAGTCTGCAGTTGCACGTCATTTCAACGTACACTAGCGCACCGTATCTCGTTTTTAGGGATCGGTATACCGCCTCAGTTCAACCCAAAGTCGTCCGAGAAATAGCCGACCACTTCTGCATAAGTTCTCTACATCCGGGTCTTTCATTCAGGTCATGATGGCTTGAGATTATCGGGGCATGCAATCACGGGAGTAGGAAATGAGAAGTAACCCCAGAAGACCGAGAGTGTACCTGTATGATGCAGCAGCTCTATACTGGCGGCGACAATGGTGTAGTGATGAATCATTATTTATTCTCCGACGCCCAGATGAAAGACAACATCTTTACCGACGGTGCGGTGAACATTTTGCAACGAGATGCATCTTACAGATCGACAGATACGGTGGCGGGAGTGGGATGGTATGGGGAGCCATATCCTATACAGGTCGGACTTGGAGGTGAAGGTGGCGGTAGTTCAGGGGTATCTAACAGCAAACCGGTATTTTGATCGAATTCTCCAACGTCACCCTCGTTTATCAACCAACATAGATGTTTCAACTAGACAACATTCACGCCACATGATACACAGCTCGAGTCACAGTGTACTACCCATGCAGAAGTCAGTATCTGGCCACGACCAGATCTCCGGACCTGAACCCGACAACCAAATACAGTTGCTATTATCTTAACAGATCATGTGACTATCGCCTTTCTTTGTTTTATTCTTGTATCACTCATAAGAAATTATTTTTTCTTTTATTTATGTGTATTATCAACTCTTACTATATATTACTCTCGTCATCGTGTGAACTACTCCAGTAACATTCCTCGAAACTGGATCCGCAAAGACTAATCGTTTCAATGTATACATGCGCCACAGTACTATCTCTATTGTATATGTAATATATTCAGGGTGTCTTCCCAGTATGACTACGTCCCAGTATGGATACTCCTCCAATACACACCTTGAATGGTTGAGTGATTTCTAATTACTAGCTGTCACCCCTTCCCTGTGGGAACAGCCCTAGAAGCTAGGAGGTCTTGCCATTGCAATTGATTATGGCTATGGTAGTTTGTATGTTTTTAAAAGAAGCAGAAGAAAATGTAGGTTCATTTTCCTTGTATGCTATATACGTAATGCATGTATTGAACATAAAAGGAACATGAACCTACATTTTCTTCTGCTTCTTTCAAAAACAAGATGTAAAATAGAACAGTAGAATAACATACACAGTATAGTTACAGTAGTACCATAGCATTGGAATATGACCAACAGATATACTCTCTATTTGCACCATCCATGCATAACATATGCAGCGTAATTATACATGTATATACATATCTGTGTATGAAAGTATCTGATATAAATTATCTGAACATTTGTATTATTGCAATATCAGATGTACACTAAACATAGCATGATTCGCAGTATTTTGATGAGTAACTCATTCAACGTCAGTGTTTTAAGTCACAAGTCACACAGAAATATTCAGTCGAACTTCAGCAGGCTTCATAGCCTGCAGGGCTCCTCCCTGAGATAACATAAACTCTGCTCTCTGAACATTGGCCATAGTTGTGCCAGGACATTTCCGTTTGTATCTTTTATAGTGAAGTTTTAAAGTTAAACAAAATTGAGAAGCTAAGACACTCAACTTCCTACTACTCCGTACTACTACTCATTATCCATAGGCAGTTTTATATTTCCCAGTTTCCATGACAACAATTTGGACTTAGTGTCAAAACGGAGGGGTGGGCTTATTTTCCGGAGCACAACTAAAAAATCGTTCCATATACGATTTGGACAATTTAATTATCAGATGATTTGATCTTCTGATGACTCATGTTTACTGTTTGTATCTACCTGGGTATGACATTGGTTTTACAAATGAAGATATGTTTACAAAATAATAAGTTAATTGATAATTAGAAGGATCACCACCCTCACAACTTTTGTGCCATAAGGTGATTATCGTAGTTCTAGTATAAACAGATGGCTACTCAATGTACAGTGTACTATGTACACATGTCTATGAACACCTCCTTGTGTAACCGAAACTGCCGGATGTATATTAGTCATGTAACATCATAACATAACGTAATATCCGTACCTACAAAACATGATGGACATGGTCAAACAGGGAGACAACATTTCATGTTAGTCCCCAATCTGCAATAAACCTGGCTGGTTTCTTCACATTTGCATTTTTGTTTTCAGTCACCCGATTGAGATGCCACCTGAAAACAAATCAGGGTTCTCGGACATAATGAATTAAAAACTCAAAAACAATCACAAAGTAGGTGTGTATTTTACTATATTCAATATATGTAAACTTGCGTGGGTACTGGAATGCTGCATACCACCCAGGGGGCTGCATACCATACCTGATAAAGTTAGATAACGGACCGGACTGGACTAGAGTCACTAGGAAGCACTCGGCGTATAGACAGAACAAACATTGTAATAAAAGGAGATCATTCCAACACATGCCACAGAGCCCATATGGCGTTTATACGATACTAACTGGAGATCTGGCCAAAGAGAGAACAACGTTAGTAGACTTCTAGTTCTGGCTGTTTGCATCTCATTGATACTCATCTCATTGATACTACCGATATGGATTAGTGGCACATTGGCTGGAGCTTAGCCCTTTGCAGTTTCCATAAATAATACGTAAAACCATATGTAACGCTTCAACTTTCGGAATTAACTGATTCGAGTTACTTCTCTGACTTAAACCATAGTATCACTGAAACTTAATTTACCCATGATTTCGCAAAATACACTATAGCTGCGTCAGATTTACTTATGTACATGCACGCTAATATATGGACTTTACACACTGTACCAATATGGGGAATCGAACCCGGGCCTTCGGCGTGACCAGCGGACGCTCTAACCACTAGGCTACCCCACCGTCCCCGATATAATGAACCTATACATAATGTGCAACATACCATACACGCCTATGTGACACCAATCAAACACGTCTTGTGCATTAAGCCACACAATTCTCCATGTTCCCAAGCTAACATACAGATATACGCTATAGCAGGATGTAAGCTCTCTCCTACCGGCAGTGAACAATGTCCTGAACCACTTGTCCTCAGGCATGCATTGTTTCAGAACGGACATCAGTAAGGAGATACCCAATGGGGGAAGGTGAAACGTCCTCATTTACCCGGTGCAGAAATATACTCTCCCCAAAAAGAAACGCATCATGAAAATAGCAATTTCATGTAGCAATGAATTAAAACGTGATTCATTTTACAAAAGGTTTTGCTCTGTTTATGAGTCCTATGGTGTTTATGTTTTGAAACATCATAACAAAACGTACCATCCGTAAAATACCCGTATTTAACAGCATGATTTTCAATTTCGGCGTGTAGTGTCACAGAATACAGAATTCACATGCAATGCACGTGAAAGTTGGGGATCAGATAGTCTCAATGATGGGTATAAAAGGTTGATCGCTGTCTGTCGATTATTCACTGTATTTGGAATATTGTTGATGAACGCAAAATGCAACGTCTAAGTGAAGCCAACCGTCATATCGCCATTGGTTTGCTTGAAGCTGGCCAGTCTCAACGTGCAGTTGCCCGACGCATGAATGTTCACCAAAGCACCATTTCACGGCTCTGGGAGAGATATCCCCGCAGAATGCGGTAGCAGATGCTCCTCGTAGTGGGCGACCTCGAGCGACCACTGCGGCGCAGGATCGCTACATCCGGGTACATCACCTGCGTCATCGAACAGCTACGGCCACCAGTACCGCTCGACAAATACCCGCACTGAGGAGGCTTTCTGCACAGACCGTCAGGAACAGGTTGAGAGAGACTGGTTTACGTGCCAGAAGACCTTATTTTGGCCCTGTGCTTCGACAACAACTTCGTCGACATCGAGTTCAATGGTGCACCAACGTTCAGGCCTGGAACCTACCGAATAGGCGTAGAATCTGGTTCAGTGATGAATCACGATTTCTATTGGAACGACGCGATGGAAGAATGCGGGTGTACAGACGTCGACGTGAACTTTTCGCCGACGCTTGCGTTCCCCAGGTGGACAGATTCGGCCGGGACAGTGTGGGGAGCGATCACCTGCCGTAGGAAAAGTGATTTGGTGATGATCCAGGGCAACCTGACAGCTCAACGGTACTGTGACAAAATCCTACGCCCACACCTCCTTCCAATCATTGATCGCCAGAGGGACAATGCCAGGCCCCAGACAGCACGTCACACTAGACACTAGAGACACTTCAGCAACTCGCATAGGCACTACAGGCAGAGTGGGCTGCGATTGGGCAACACGAGATTCTGAGACTTATTCGTTCGATGCCGAGGCGATGCCGTCCAGTTCTGGATGCCCACGGTGGTCACACGAGGTATTGATTTCAGCGCCACCACACGTCTCCATGTGACACTCAAACTGACTTTCCTCGAGTTGGTGCCAAAGACGGATAAGTCTGCATTCCCAGTGTGCAATTTCGCTATATTTCATTGACTCATAAAACCTACAAGATGTTTCAAAATAAACATAAAATACAGTTGAAATTCCTATATGCGTTTCTTTTTTGGGAGAGTATATATGATGATATTGGGAAAAAGTGGACATGTCTGCGCAATGTCACTAAGCACGTTACATTGTTCAGCTAGGCTCAACACATATGAAAACATCATGGCATAACAACTTTGCTGAAAGAACCAGCATGCCTCATCAGTAATGTCACAATACTAGCCAATGTCGATACATACCAAGTCATTAAAACTCGCCGTGCAAAATCATGTTTCATCACGTTCTCGTTTTCTAACCAAATACTTTGCTCGTTTTGAAACACTTCATACGCCTCTTTTAGCAAAACCCATTCCTATCCAGCTGCAGTCCTTCCCTAATGAACACAACTGTTCTGCTAAATACAATCTGGCCTGCATTGTAACCCTATCACTGCTTGTGATTCTCGCCGCCAATAGTAATGCCACTGATACGATGTAAAGCAGCGTGCATTCATCCATTCTTCCTGGGATGGGTGTTAATGCATCCTCTGGCAGGCCACAGAAGCCAACAAAAAGCAGTAGCTCTTGTCCCTTGTGTGGAGCAACATGTCGGAAATATTCTGGGCTGTTGTTCATGTGCCGTGGGACTGGTTCAAAACTGAAACAGATTCAGAAACCATGTTACGACCAGACAAGCCCACAAACATGTCTTATACTAACAGGTCAAAATATTCCCCATGAAGCCTTTACCAATCAGGGGAGATCATGTTAATCTTACACCAACAAATGTAAGTGTTCCCCATGAAAACTTTACCAATATAAGGGCATCATAAAATCCCTATAAAACCTGTACCAATCACAGGACATGACCATACAGATGGTATTCTGACAAGTGTATGGTTTCCTATGAAGCCCTGAACCAGTCGGATCACTCACTTGGGACTTTCTCCTCAAAGGATATATCCATTTCACTGGCGGGATCCTTAGGCCCAGATATTGTCACGTCTATGTACGGGAGGTCCTGATCGACTGCACTGGCGACCGTGGCTGCTGATGTCGGTTGTATTGGGGGTTGTGAACGTAGAACCAGTCCTTCCTCGATGGTGGCCAGGCGCTTTAATGGTGGGTCGTTGATGGCGACATAGTATTTGAGGAAGGCTATGACGGACCTTCTGCCCCGCTGTCACACGAAATCCGTTGCATTATTGGTGAATAAGACATTGAAAACAGTATATTGCGTATTTAACCATCTATGTTGTAAAAGGCAAATATGTTCTCATGTAAGTCATATATGCTTACCTCGACAATACTTAGGTAAGTCATATATGCTTACCTCGACAATACTCATGTAAGTCATATGTGATTACCTCGACAATACTCATGTAAGCCATATATGCTTACCTCGACAATACTTAGGTAAATCATATATGCTTACCTCGACAATACTCATTTAAGTCATAGATTGATTACCTCGACAATACTCACGTAAGTCATATATGCTTACCTCGACAATACTCATGTAAGTCATATATGATTACCTAGACAATACTCATGTAAGTCATATATGATTACCTCGACAATACTCATGTAAGTCATATATGATTACCTCGACAATACTTATGTAAGTCATATCTGCTTACCTCGACAATACTCATGTAAGTCATATATGAGTCATATATAAGTCATATATGATTCCTCGACAATACTCATGTAAGTCATATATGATTACCTCGACAATATATATAAGTCATATATGCTTACCTCGACAATACTCATATAAGCTTACCTCGACAATACTCATGTAAGTCATATATGATTACCTCGACAATACTCATGTAAGTCATATATGATTACCTCGACAATACTTATGTCATCATATATGATTACCTAAGTCATATATGATTACATCGACAATACTCATGTAAGTCATATATGATTACCTCGACAATACTCATGTAAGTCATATATGCTTACCTCGACAATACTCATGTAAGTCATATATGATTACCTCGACAATACTCATGTAAGTCATATATGCTTACATCGACAATACTCATGTAAGTCATATATGCTTACATCGACAATACTCATGTAAGTCATATAATCGACAATACTCATGTAAGCCATATATGCCTACCTCGACAATACTCATGTAAGTCATATATGCTTACCTCGACAATACTCATGTAAGCCATCTATGCTTACCTCGACAATACTCATGTAAGTCATATATGATTACCTCGACAATACTCATGTAAGTCATATATGATTACCTCGACAATACTCATGTAAGTCATATATGCTTACATCGACAATACTCATGTAAGTCATATATGATTACCTCGACAATACTCATGTAAGTCATATATGATTACCTCGACAATACTCATGTAAGTCATATATGATTACCTCGACAATACTCATGTAAGTCATATATAATTACCTCGACAATACTTATGTAAGTCATATATGATTACCTCGACAATACTCATGTAAGTCATATATGCTTACCTCGACAATACTTATGTAAGTCATATATGATTACCTCGACAATACTTATGTAAGTCATATATGATTACCTCGACAATACTCATGTAAGTCATATATGATTACCTCGACAATACTCATGTAAGTCATATATGATTACCTCGACAATACTCATTTAAGTCATATATGCTTACCTCGACAATACTTATGTAAGTCATATATGCTTACCTCGACAATACTCATGTAAGTCATATATGATTACCTCGACAATACTTATGTAAGTCATATATGCTTACCTCGACAATACTCATGTAAGTCATATATGATTACCCCGACAATACTCATGTAAGTCATATATGATTACCTCGACAATACTCATGTAAGTCATATATGATTACCTCGACAATACTCATGTAAGTCATATATGATTACCTCGACAATACTTATGTAAGTCATATATGCTTACCTCGACAATACTCATGTAAGTCATATATGCTTACCTCGACAATAAGCATGTAAGCCATCTATGCTTACTTCGACAATACTCATGTAAGTCATACATGCTTACCTCGACAATAGCATGTAAGTCATATATGCTTACCTCGACAATACTCATGTAAGTCATACATGCTTACCTCGACAATACTCATGTAAGTCATATATGCTTACATCGACAATACTCATGTAAGTCATATATGATTACCTCGACAATTCTCATGTAAGTCATCTATGCTTACCTCGACAATACTCATGTAAGTCATATATGATTACCTCGACAATAAACTCCCGGTCCGCATCCTCCAGCACAAAGTCTGTAGTGCCCACGTGACCAGTGTTGATCCCAACACTCCTCTCTTTGTCCCTTTCCTGGGAACGACAAAGACAATGTAACAGTGCTTGACACATCTCTGGGACGGTGCTAAACAATGCAAGAGTTTTTTATGAAAGATACCAGTGGCTTTACTACACCTGTACAGTATGTGTGACACCAACACGACAAAGGTGTTGTACGTGTTAGAACCGGATTACCTCTACATATATCCTTCTTGACATTAGTTAGTAGTGTAGACTGTAGCGTCGAGAAGAAGTTGAACAAGTTGTTGACTTCCTTCCTGTCGTAACCAAGGAAACGAGTCTGCAGTGTGATCCCAGTTTCTTCCATAAACCGCATGAGTTCGTTGTATGTGATCTGCGACAAACAAAGGATCAGCTTATTAGATCTGATACGTCCCAAATATAGGATCAGTTCAGTATATGTGAATTGTTGCAGATGATGGATAAATTGGTTACACGTCATCTATCACAGATTAAAGATGTGAATGTCACCATGGATCAGCTTGTGATATGCGTTTCATCATGGAGAATCAGCTCGCTGCAAGTGATCTGTCACAGGAAAAGGATCAGCCAAGAAGCTATAGATTATCTGTCACTTTGGATAACATATATGTGTGTTGCTCAGGTAAAAAGAGAGCCATCTTACATTTCCGTTCCCATCACGGTCCAGATATTGAAGGATGGTGTCGTCGTCGACGTCCCCGAAGATCCGTCTTCGGCGCGTCCTGGTGAAGGTGGCCTCCTGTGGTGTAACCAGTACATATATGCAGGTGAAGTTCACCAATGTCATTTATATGTGTACTACTGCAGCTATATCCTTTTTGGAAAAATCCCAGGAAACATCTTAAATTCTATTTCACATTTGTGTTGCGCATTTACTGTGAGCGCCTAAATGGATGCACCTTGTTTTGGGGTCCTTATTCTGTTCACGCACGCATTCTCTTAGTGTGCGTACGTGTGTGTGTGTGTGTGTGTGTGTGTGTGTGTGTGTGTGTGTGTGTGTGTGTGTGTGTGTGTGTGTGTGTGTGTGTGCGTGCGTGCGTGCGCGCGTGTGTGTGTGTGTGTGCGTGTTTGTGTGTGTGTGCGTGCGTGCGTGCAGTCATAGTATTTTATCACAGAGATGCTTGCAGTGAGCACGTTTAATTCATAATGACAACTGTATATTCTAAGTTGTCTATGTCGACATTAGTGGTGTAACGATTCATCGATAGTATCGATGTTTACATCGTCAACTACGCGATACGTGTGCATCGATACAAAACACATTTAGGCAATATATCAGGATATTTATATCGCAAGGGTCCATGATACATCGATGTATCGCCACAAGAGACGATATATCCCGATACTACTTAAATACTACTTAAAGTTGTAAGGAATATTGCATTAGGATTAGGAAGGGAGTCTCTTTGAAATACTTCTAAATTTAAAAAAAAGACTGAACCTTGTAGGAATTTGTTTGTGTGTGCCACATTTGTTACATGGACAAAAGAGTTGGTGTGTGAGTGAAAGAATGTGAACATTTTTCAATCTCTGTGAATTGTAAAGATTTGTCTTTAAGTAATTGAAACATGTTTTAGTTGTTTGACAAATAACACCATTTATTAGCAACTATGAACGATGTCTGTGTTAAGAAAGAGAAGATAAAATTTAGAAAGCATACTTAAGAGATTTTTTCAGTGATTCTGGTATAAATTACGTTGAATTGTCTGTGAATGCATTGGTGAAACACAACTTTCCAAGGGAAACCTAGATCAAGGTATACTGAATATGTTTGATTGTACTTTCTTAAGCATTAAGTGCTGAAACTGTATTACATAAACAGCCTTTTAAGTGTGTGTGAATGTAACACCTGTTCTCCTGTATAACAAATAAAGATTCAGTCATTTCATCTATCATATATGTCCTGTTTCTAGAATCGTATAGTATCGGGATACGTATCATATCGCCATCACTGTATCGTGAATGAAGACACTTTTGAAATCAGTTTACCTTATAACCAGCAACCACAAAGTTCAGAGCTCAATAACAGCTTAACCAAAACCCGTTTTGATTCAAATGCTCAAATCAGTGGATTGGGGTTAAAAAGTGGAACAGAGGCATATGTCTGACCTGTCAATAATAGGGGAGGGTAGCTCAATAACAGTTGGGAAACATACAGAATTACATTGTGTGTCATCAAGTTCACAACCACACGATACATGGGAAGAAATCAAATTCAAATGTTTCCCTTTTATAAAATAGCTTCAAGGGACAAACTCAAACAAAGTGAACGTCTGGAAGAACAATAGGTCATTCTATTAGTCACCTATTGAAGACATCAATGTTTATTGTATGACGTCACAATGCTTATACCACTGTCACAATGGTATTAGACCTAGCTTTACCCGTGGAAAACTGAGAGTCATCACACTGTATGCAGTTTCTATCAATTTATGTTGGAGAATAATAAACAGAATACTAAAGTCGCTTCCGTGAAATACCATCACAATCCTCTCCCTGATGACACGAATGAAACAGATCGCAGGAAGTAATCAGCAATGTGTTTATATTGAATACATTGTGACGTAATGCAAAAAGTGCACATTATCGTCTGATAAAGTACTGTCGGCGCCTTTGATATTTCACCGAAGCATCTTAGAATGTTCATTATAGGTATGTTGGACTGTGCACTAGAACACCTAGAATGACAAATGTATAGAGATGATATACTTACGTCACGAAGTGCTGCCTCTAGTTCGTCCCGGCTGATTGTCGAATCACAGTCAACATTATGACGTTTAAGAACCTGCAATATTGTTGATGAAGTGAAAACGAAGAATTTCTATCATATTTCATGTGTAATGCTCAGACAAGGGTAAGGACCGACAGTAGAATATCTGGTTGGGCGGACTGGGTTGTTTTATAAAGGACCAGGGGTGGTTGGACGATTTGACTAAGGATACTATTATTCTGTCATATCGAATAGACAGCATACATTTTCTATGAAATAGATTCATTTATTTCACAATAACGAAATAGATCTGTACGGCATGAGTACAGAATGATTTGCCAAAGCTACAATTCTTTAAACGTCATCATTCTGTAAAATACGTGACGCTTAAAGAGTGACGTGATCTGCATTTAAATTCCTAAATCGTGAGGACTGCGAGGTACCATATAAATATTATCCTGGTTTTAAAGGGAATGAGGTAATTTCCGGACTTGATGCCCGTAGTGTGATGTTTCATTTCCTTTGGCTGATTAACTAGCAGATATGATGTAGGTGTCTACACTCGTAGTGGGTTTTCAATGAATATTGTTTTAAAACACCTATAGATCTGCCTAACGCCAGTTTAAACCTGATCATGGTATATTTGACTTGTTTGACATTCAGCTTATTGTTGTTTATTTATTTGAGTTCAAAGTTTAGATAATACTATTTGAAACTGGAGAAGCACATTGACCAACATCACGAGTCTGACCTGGAGGAAGGCGTCCACAGCCCTGACAACACGCCTGTGCTCCCTGTCCGCTTTCAGCTGCAGCTGCCGCGTCTTCACCTTCTCCCTGAAACATTGACAGTGACTCTTAAAAATATACAACTTATGATCTGTAATGACATTCTTAGTTTCATTCTGTAAAGGATATGAAGACAATGCCGGACGGACCCACCTGGCCAGTTTAGTGTCCGGGAGATCCTGGAGCTCCACGCCCATCCTCTTCTCCAGCTGGTACCTCAGCACGTCCTCCTCATTGTCAGCATACTGCAACATCAATACACAATCAACACAACAGCCACGTCTTTGATGACTGACCAGTTATTACTCTTCGTTATTTAGTTTTGATAACGGTTAAGGTTCATGGTTAGGGACCACTTGTACAGAACATTCTTAGCGCTACAATTATTGTAATCCTTAAGATCACAATTTTAGACCTCGGTTACAAACGATTGTAGGCTAAGACCAGTGTAAGCTACAATGGAAACTTACAGTTGGTCCGGACCAATCTTAAATAACCAAGATCGTTGTTGTCCGTGACAAAATGTCTTTTAAATCAGTTTCACACAAGTTTACCCTACGTGTTTTACACTTCCTCAACACGGGGATTACACCACTGATTTAACGTCAGAACCATTGTTATTTACGGTAGTGAACCACATAACTATGAAGTGTGAAACGACATACCTTTTCGATAATCAAGAATAAATAATAACGACCTTTTTACAAACTGAAGGTCCTCTAATCTCAGTTTACACGCAACATGGGAGTGGTTTCCATTGACATAATATGCCGCTGTCGTAGAATCTGCCTTGACCAATGTTTCCAGTTTTGTAACATCACAGAGCACCACCTATACTTCTTTGCGACATTCGCTCACTTTTGTCTTGTTTCGGTTTGATTTTGTCTTTAGTTTAATCTATCATTTAAATATATCAATTAGACACAAGTTAGCGTACAAAATCAAGTTTCTTTCTCATTCTTAAATCTTAAGTGTTAATATATGCATTTCAAATATATACATACATGTATTCATCAAACAGGGAAATACACATGCTGAGGCATTTGAAATTTGTGTGAAATATCTTATAAACAGCAAAATAATCATTTTAAAACATAAGATCAATAGTGCTAAATAATTAGTACACAGTGAATAAGTATTTAACAACTGCTCTCTCGAAATATCATCATTTATTATTAATATTTCCCTGTCATGCATTTTTCACACTCCTGTTGCAATAACACACTTTCATCTAGCAACAAACCTTATAATTCTGGGATATATTTGCGATTTTAAAAACAAATCCCCTAAACGTATGCGTTTTAGACAATGACTCACTGACAACAATTGACATATCATATATCTACGGGCTATGTTAAAAGGAAATATTCGTTATATTAATGTAATAACGACAGTTTGCATGTATTATGCTGTCTTCACACTAATCGTTTCCTTCAAACATTTGTGGGGTCTTTTTCATAAAACAACTGTGCGGGATGGAGGGTTTGTTTGTTGCTAGATGGGATGGATGGATGGAGGTATGTGTTCTCTGCCGTAATCGGTTCCACTATTGGTTTGTGAAGTATGCTATGCGTGCTTGCAGACAAATGTAGGGTCGAGTGTGAGAAACTCGATCGTACCTTCCCCATCGAAGATCCCCGGTTCCGTTTCTCTTCATATCACTAGATACGTTGACGCCGCGCGCCCGAGCCCGGAGGGAATATAAGATAACATATTAATCTTACGGCACATGCTCTGTTCGTTTTCAGCTGGAGAGTCATGCTCCCCGGATATTGTGATCACAGTAACACGGATACCCACGCCGTGACTACAGTGACCCGGATACCCACGCCGTGACTACAGTGACCCGGATACCCACGCCGTGACTACAGTGACCCGGATACCCACGCCGTGACTACAGTGACCCGGATACCCACGCCGTGACTACAGTAACACGGATATCCACGCCGTGACTACAGTGACCCGGATATCCACGCCGTGACTACAGTGACCCGGATATCCACGCCATGACTACAGTGACCCGGATACCCACGCCGTGACTACAGTAACACGGATATCCACGCCGTGACTACAGTGACCCGGATATCCACGCCGTGACTACAGTGACCCGGATATCCACGCCATGACTACAGTGACCCGGATACCCACGCCGTGACTACAGTAACACGGATATCCACGCCGTGACTACAGTGACCCGGATATCCACGCCGTGACTACAGTGACCCGGATATCCACGCCATGACTACAGTGACCCGGATACCCACGCCGTGACTACAGTAACACGGATATCCACGCCATGACTACAGTGACCCGGATACCCACGCCGTGACTACAGTAACACGGATATCCACGCCGTGACTACAGTGACCCGGATACCCACGCCGTGACTACAGTGACCCGGATACCCACACTGTGACCATAGTGACCCGGATACCCACACTGTGACCATAGTGACCCGGATACCCACGCCGTGACTACAGTAACACGGATATCCACGCCGTGACTACAGTGACCCTGATACCCACACTGTGACCATAGTGACCCGGATATCCACGCCGTGACTACAGTGACCCGGATACCCACGCCGTGACTACAGTGACCCGGATACCCACACTGTGACCATAGTGACCCGGATATCCATAGTGCGTTTTTAAGGAAAGGTATGTGCTGTGAAAGAAACGAAAACGTTTTTTGTCTAAATAAAGTTTGCCAAATGAGCCATTTCCAAGGTAAACAATCGTCACAGAGAAACCGTAATACAAGTAAACGTGTCGGCGAACTGCAACGATAACGAGTTAAACCAAATATACATGGAGTCCCCTTGCAGCATCTGTCGGGCTGTAAAGCCGGGGCGGACAATCTGAGGGAGAGCACTCCTTAAGTCAAGCCATGTTCTTTCGGTTGTCAGGACAACGTGACGTAGGCTGAATATAATTTACAGGTAGCAGTCTGCTGAAGACCGAGGTTAGAGCATCGGTAAAGATGTGCGGTATGTTAATATAGGTTGGGCACCTGTTCCTACAACTGGGACTGTTTTGGTAACTTTAGACCCCGACTTTATAAATACAAAAAACAAGCGAGTAAACATACACACTCTGAGCCTGGTGATATCGGCACCGGTAAGGTTTCAAAGTCAACTATGAAATGTCATTTTCTTTTAATTCCTAGAGTGCCTCAAAATATTATTGGTCGTTATTATCATCACCTGAGCTATGGAAACTTGAATCGTGCTTTACACTAGCTATGATACGTAAACATAAAACCATCGGAACTGAGCCACGGGTCTTAACATGGTAACTGTTTGTATGTGGAATAATTGCCGAATAAGATTATCAATAATTATTTTGAGAAAAACACTTTTCAACGTGTGGCTCATTAAAACATGGGTGTCTGCGAGTTATCTTTCTGAACGTTCAGTAACGTTGACTGAGGTAATCCGTTTCATGTCAAATTTGTAAAATGTACAAATATAAACTGAAGAGTTCGCCTCTATGACAACCCCAGTAGGTAACTAAGTGTCGATTTCTGAACAGACTGAAAAAAAATGTCATTTTGAAAACAGCAACTGATGTGAACATAAGTAGTTCCGGTTGTTGACAATAAACCCAAACCAGGATATTGTATGTGAACATCAAGGGACACCGTAGGATAAAGCAAACATAACACATGAAAACGTATGCAATATAGGCCACCGAGCATATCACATTGGGGATGAGCCAAAATCACGGATGCGGCTAACAAGTTCACATATTTGTGATACTGTACAGAACTGTTAAAGTAGGTAGACAGACGGGCATAAGACTGACCACAATCCAGGACACGTGAGTTGGTGTTCAGGTGAGCTGCAAGATGGAAATACATTATTGTAGTCTTCAGCTGGGCGGTAAATAGTGCAATAAGTGAGCATAGTATCAACATAGTAGGAGTTCTCTGCTGTTTGAAATGAGTGAGGTGGAGCCTCTATGCTTGGGACTATATATGGATATATGGCCTCTATGCTTGGACTATATATGGATATATGGCCTCTCTATTCTTGGACTATATATGGATATATGGCCTCTATGCTTGGACTATATATGGATATATGGCCTCTCTATTCTTGGACTATATATGGATATATGGCCTCTATGCTTGGACTAAATATGGATATATGGTCTCCATGCTTGGACTATATATGGATATATGGCCTCTCTATTCTTGGACTATGTATGGATATATGGCCTCTATTCTTGGACTATATATGGATATATGGCCTCTATTCTTGGACTATATATGGATATATGGCCTCTCTATTCTTGGACTATATATGGATATATGGCCTCTATCCTTGGACTATATATGGATATATGGCCTCTCTATTCTTGGACTATATATGGATATATGGCCTCTATTCTTGGACTATATATGGATATATGGCCTCTATTCTTGGACTATATATGGATATATGGCCTCTATTCTTGGACTTATATATGGATATATGGCCTCTATGCTTGGACTATATATGGATATATGGCCTCTCTATTCTTGGACTATATATGGATATATGACCTCTCTATTCTTGGACTATATATGGATATATGGCCTCTCTATTCTTGGACTATGTATAGATATATGGCCTCTATTCTTGGGCTATATATGGATATATGGCCTCTATGCTTGGATTATATATGGATATATGGCCTCTCTATTCTTGGACTATATATGGATATATGGCCTCTCTATTCTTGGACTATATATGGATATATGGCCTCTCTATTCTTGGACTATATATGGATATATGGCGTCTATTCTTGGACTATATATGGATATATGGCCTCTATTCTTGGACTATATAGGGATATATGGCCTCTATGCTTGGACTATATATGGATATATGGCCTCTCTATTCTTGGACTATATATGGATATATGGCCTCTATTCTTGGACTATATATGGATATATGGCCTCTATTCTTGGACTATATATGGATATATGGCCTCTATTCTTGGACTATATATGGATATATGGTCTCTCTATTCTTGGACTATATATGGATATATGGCCTTCTATTCTTGGACTATATATGGATATATGGCCTCTATTCTTGGGCTATATATGGATATATGGCCTCTATTCTTGGACTATATATGGATATACGGTCTCTATTCTTGGACTATATATGGATATATGGCCTTTATTCTTGGACTATATGTGGATATATGGCCTCTATTCTTGGACTATATATGGATATATGGCCTCTATGCTTGGACTATATATGGATATATGGCCTCTATTCTTGGACTATATATGGATATATGGCCTCTATGCTTGGACTATATATGGATATATGGTCTCTATGCTTGGACTATATATGGATATATGGCCTCTATGCTTGGACTATATATGGATATATTGCCTCTATGCTTGGACTATATATGGATATATGGCCTCTCTATTCTTGGATTATATATGGATATATGGCCTCTATTCTTGGACTATATATGGATATGTGACCTCTCTATTCTTGGACTATATATGGATATACGGCCTCTCTATTATTGGACTATATATGGATATATGGCCTCTCTATTCTTGGACTATATATGGATATATGGCCTCTATTCTTGGACTATATACGGATATATGGCCTCTCTATTCTTGGACTATATATGGATATATGGCCTCTCTATTCTTGGACTATATATAGATATACACTGTGTTATGATACAGCACTGATATCTTATTGATTATATAACAGTTACAGTAATTTATCCAGAAAAGAAAGAGTTACGTCTTTTGCCCAACAGCAAGACAATGTGGTAATAGACCCCCACCCTGCTACCTGAAAACGAATGATTCTGTCTACAAGCTTTTATAGATGTGAATTGTTACCGCCGTATACGGTAACGAACACGAAATGATTGAAATGTCCCAGCGTTACCTTGCTCGCTCGACAACAGATTCGTCTATGTCAAACTTAGGAATGTTGTCAATGAATGGTTACATAGATAGATGTAGATTACAATCATTAGGAAGGCCCTGTCACAATGATTGCAACTCAATAACTAAAGATCTATTTATGCTCATGTTACTATCAACGCTCGTGACAGTACCAGCCGTCCGACAAGCATAGTGGAAGTACACCATGGTCACACTTAGGATATAGAACCCCTTGTTTGATTCTACGCTGTTCTGAATACGGAAATTTCATTACAGATATGCATATGACTAAATAGCATTATTTAGGTCGGCTCTGGCAGCAAATTACATTTTGTGATTTGAGTTGAGTTGAGTTGGGCTTTACGTCACATCGGCATTATTTCAGCCATATAGTAACGAGAACAAGTCTGCATTCATAAACATCTGAGTACAAAGTCCCAAATGAGTTGTATTTTAAAAAACATATATGTTCATTACATTATTATTTACAAACAGAAATTGACACAGCATCAAATTCAAAAACAAGCAATCCGTCGTTCACATTACATACAATTTATGATACAGGTCAAATTCCCCCAGGTAGCTAACAATGAGATGTCCGCTGACGCAGGAAAACAGGTGTTTCAGAGTTATCGCTTCATAATGACTTTGTGAGTCCGTTGCAGTTGAAAGGTCCACACAGTCAAGCAGTATATGCTTGATGGTGAACGCTTCTTCGCAAGAGATACACATCCATCCGTCCATCTCCATCCGTTTTGAGCAGATAGTCATAGGTAAACCGACTGTGGCCAATACGACATTACCGTAAAACTACCTCATCGCGTCTTCAAGGACAACCCAAGTAGGTATAACCAATTGATTTCATTTCATGAAGTTTATTTCTTCCTTCTTGGGTGTCCCACCTTTTTTGCATAAGGTCCCCAGTATAACTTTTGATAGTGGGTTTGAAATCACGATACGGGATCAGCAGTGTAGATAAGGTCTTGTCAAGAGCTGCTTTAGCTGCAGCATCGGCCTTTATGTTACCTGCTATGCCGACGTGACCCGGCAACCAGCAGAGGACGATGTCACATTGGCCAGTAGAAAGATCGTTGTAAAGTTCTAAAATGTCCAGGATGGTATTATGACTTGAAGTAACATTTTGAAGTGCTTGAAGGCAAGATAATGAATCGGTAAATACGATGAAGGTTTTGGAATGATTCTGCTGTTTAATGTAGGTCAAAGTCATGAGGATAGCTTTGTCCTCAGCAGTGACAATGGAACTATTGTTTGGGAAATCTGGAAGAGACAGTCTTGGATTCTTCTGTAAAAATGGATCTATGGGTGTTATACTTGGAACGTAACTGGTTGTATTCCTGTTGGAACGTCAAAGGATTTGTTTCTGACTTTTTGAGTTTGGTGAGGGTAATATGGCTTCACCATCTGCCAGGGTGGCGAAGACAGAACGTAACAGAAGTCGGCAAGGTGCTATGATATTGAAATCAATGTTAGCAGATATGTGGGGTTGAATTCTAATTCCGAGTGGTCGAACCAGGCTTGGCAGATTAGGAAACAGGTTTTCATAGAGAGGGTTGAAACACAATTGTATACTGGATTGGACTGATTTGAACGTAATTTAGTGATATACTGTACTGAAAGTTGCGGCGTTGTTCCAGGGGAGGTTCGTTATCCTCCGCTTATAGACTGTCTACCGTAGAGGTCCTAAAGTACCGGACGTATTCGTTTATGGACAAATCAGTTAACTCTCCAATGCTACTAAAAGGTATCTGTGGGTAAAATAATACGAGACAGATTGAAATATGCTAGAAATGTATGCCACAATGTCTCCACAGTCACCACTATTACCCCTTCTCCACGTCATGGCGTACTACTTGCGATTTGAGCGATTAACTCGGCACTGGGGTTTGATATCAAGTTACAATGTACATGAAATACTATCAATATTGCTAAGTACGCCAAATATATTTCAAACGTCTACAACTCGAGATATATGTTTTCTGACAGGCACTTTTCAAGATCTGGTATACAAAGATATAGGGTTACATACCAATATCCTTTTCTGGGGCTTTTGCCATCGGCATAGAATCCATTCCTGACATGAGTGCACACAGGGATACTTACAACTTCATTCAGTAACTTCAGTCGAACTTTTGAAAAGCCCAGGAAATATTTCTTAACCATGGGTATGAGCAACCGATCTGTTCGGCAAATAATAACATTGATTTACACCCCTGTCGATTTGTGAGCCTTATATGTGTGTATTGTCGAGGGAGCATTTGTTTAGTCCTGGTTTCCTTTTGTTTAGATATAAAATTTATGCATATGCGATCTTTTGAACAAAACATTTGAAAGTTTACACTTATCCAAAAACAAATATAATTTTTTCAAAATCTTTTATACGCGTAAGGACTGAAGCCAGACGGAGTCCCTTCTCCCTGGGCGATGTAAAGCCAGACGGAGCAGTCCCTTCTCCCTGGGCGATGTAAAGCACGAATATTCATAAGCGATAGACTGTGGCTTGGTCTCCTGTGTACTCGGAAATGTTAAAAACGGGTACCTCAGAAGATATGTTGTGTGTTTTGACAGTTACTCAGGCATGTAACATTATCGTAAGATGCATACCCCACCACCCCCCACCACCCCGGCTTATAAAAATAATTGAAACACCTACCAAAAGAAATCCTAGTGTCTTATCGTTGAATTCACCGAACCTCTCGCTCCTGTCGAAGAGCCGGGTGAGAGCACTGAGTGGCTGGAGTCGTTGGATAAAGCTGTCTGTGTTCTTCATCGACAGCCACCAGCCTGAAGCCAGATACAGAGAAGGTCAGTTATGTCAAACCGATGTAGGTGGCACTACATCCTGGATCTTAGTAGCTTCAAGTAGAATCAGAGTAAACAAGTCGGGATTAGATTGCCGATTTCCGTGAATGGCATATGCTGCAGTTAATGATGATCAGCACTATTTTCTCAAATTTGTTTCATCCACACGAAAATCCATCTTAGAGTAGGGCAGGTACGACAAATAGCACTAAACTGTACACGGATTGGCGCACTGAATAAGGACCGCTTCACTGTACACGGATTGGCACACTGAATAAGGACCGCTTCAATGTACACGGATTGGCACACTGAATAAGGACCGCTTCCCTGTACACGGATCGGCGCACTGAATAAGGACCGCTTCACTGTACACGGATTGGCGCACTGAATAAGGAGCGCTTCAATGTACACGGATTGGCGCACTGAATAAGGACCGCCTCATTATACATGGATTGGCCCACTGAATAAGGAGCGCTTCACTGTACATGGATTGGCGCACTGAATAAGGAGCGCTTCACTATACACGGATTGGCGCACTGTATAAGGACCGCCTCATTATACATGGATTGGCACACTGAATAAGGACGCAATGTACAAGATTGGCACACTGAATAGGCGCTTCACTGTACACGGATTGGTGCACTGAATAAGGACCGCTTCACGGTACACGGATTGGCACACTGAATAAGGACCGCCTCATTATACATGGATTGGCACACTGAATAAGGACCGCTTCAATGTACACGGATTGGCACACTGAATAAGGAGCGCTTCACTATACACGGATTGGCGCACTGAATAAGGACCGCCTCATTATACATGGATTGGCACACTGAATAAGGACCGCTTCAATGTACACGGATTGGCACACTGAATAAAGAGCGCTTCAATGTACACGGATTGGCGCACTGAATAAGGACCGCCTCATTATACATGGATTGGCCCACTGAATAAGGAGCGCTTCACTGTACACGGATTGGCCCACTGAATAAGGAGCGCTTCACTATACACGGATTGGCGCACTGAATAAGGACCGCTTCATTATACATGGATTGGCCCACTGAATAAGGAGCGCTTCACTGTACACGGATTGGCGCACTGAATAAGGAGTGCTTCACTGTACACGGATTGGTGCACTGAATAAGGAGCGCTTCACTGTACACGGATTGGCACACTGAATAAGGACCGCCTCATTATACATGGATTGGCACACTGAATAAGGGCTTCCAGTACACGGAACACACTGAATAAACAATGTACGGACTGAATAAGGACCGCCTCATTATACATGGATCGGCGCACTGAATAAGGACCGCTTCAATGTCCGGATTGGCCCACTGAATAAAGAGCTTCAATGTACACGGATTGGCGCACTGAATAAGGACCGCCTCATTATACATGGATTGGCCCACTGAATAAGGACCGCCTCATTATACATGGATTGGCCCACTGAATAAGGAGCGCTTCACTGTACATGGATTGGCGCACTGAATAAGGAGCGCTTCACTGTACACGGATTGGCGCACTGAATAAGGACCGCCTCATTATACATGGATTGGCCCACTGAATAAGGGCTTCACTGTACACGGATTGGTGCACTGAATAAGGGCGGCTTCATTACCGCGGATTGGCCCACTGAATAAGGAGTGCTTCACGGTACTGATTGGCACACTGAATAAGGGGCTTCACGGTAACGGATTGGCGCACTGAATAAGGAGTGCTTCACGGTACACGGATTGGCGCACTGAATAAGGAGTGCTTCACGGTGTTGGCACTGGATTGGCTTCACTGTACAGTTGGCGCACTGAATAAGGACCGCTTCATTATACACGGATTGGCACACTGAATAAGGACCGCTTCACTGTACACGGATTGGTGCACTTAATAAGGAGCGCTTCACTGTACACGGATTGGCGCACTGAATAAGGAACGCTTCACTGTACACGGATTGGCACACTGAATAAGGAACGCTTCACTGTACACGGATTGGCACACTGAATAAGGAGCACGAACAAGAACACTGTACACAGATTGGAGCACTGAATAAGGAGCACTTCCAAGTACACCGACAAGGCAGACTGAATAAGGAGCGCTTCCCTCTATAGGGATTGGCGCACTAAACAATGATTGATAAACTGTACATGGATTTCAATAATCAACAATCAGCAGTGCACTGTACACGGATTGGCATACTGAACAGTGATCTGTACACTGTAGACGGGTTGGCATACTGAACAGTGATCTGTACACTGTAGACGGGTTGGCATACTGAACAGTGATCTGTACACTGTAGACGGGTTGGCATACTGAACAGTGATCTGTACACTGTAGACGGGTTGGCATACTGAACAGTGATCTGTACACTGTAGACGGGTTAACATAACGAACAAGGAGACTACATAGTCTCAAGTGTCGTTGTGATTAAAGAGCGGTCAAGATTCTATTTCTTTGACGGTGACGAATAACAACTGCATCTTACGCAAGCAATAAACAATTCGGCTTGATCAGGAAGCAGACTGTTAGTGTGTATAAGGGGTTATCTCCCAATTGACAGACACCCATTTGACAGACACCCAATTGGCAGACACTGAACTAGAAGGTTAATTAGGGTGACACCTACGGGTATAATGGAACAGTCCACTGTCTAGTGAGCAGAGCAGGGTGAGCCTGAAACAGGTTCGTTACTGAGTAGTTTGATTGTGGGTAAATAGAACTTTGTTGTGATTGAATGATAAATGGTTTTCTTCTCAAAATTGATTTTACTATCAATTACTGTCGAATATAAAAACAGGTTTGTCACTGAGAGGTTTGATTGTGTTTATTGATAGAAAAGACCCCTCCCAATAAAAGCATATGTACAACAGAAGTTAACTGTGAAAACGTTTTGTTTGAGAGATATAGATATGTACATATTTGAAAACATTCTGATTTGCAGTAAATGAGACACCTGCATTGCCATGTAAGATACGATTAATACCAATCAGTGTTCTAATTTTAACAATACTTTCTAAAGATTGTAACAGTTTGTGTTTTTGAGTAGTATACAATGGACATTCAAGGAAGTAATAAAAAACATTCTCACATCCATGGTCACATTCACATGATGCGTCATACATTAAACAATTATTATAAATAAATCGTAGTTAAGTGCACTCGTCCTATATCTCAATGTTGTGTGCAAAACATATAACTTCTTTATTCCTTATGAAAAACATTTGGGTTCATATTTGTCTTTATTTGATTTATACGATACAACAGTGTCGCAATTTCTAATAGCTAAGTTAATGTTTTCAATATGATGATGCCGACTCCCGTTAGACAAGAAGGTTAAACCGAAATGTTTATGAAAATAAACTGTTTATATTGCAGCAACAAGCATTCAAATTACTGTATTTTCGTCCATCTTTCAAAATAAATAATAAAGCTTAAGATAGTTCCTGTGTTTTTATTTGGACTATTCCATAATAATGTTGTTGTTTTAAGGTGTCTGCGAACTGGCTGTCTGCGTAATGGGAGGACACCGTATAAGGTGCAGTCACTCTATGTTTTCCACAGTCGACCCGTGAAAGTAACTGATGATTCTCGGCGAAACACAAGAAGGATATGATGAAAAGATAATTGCATACTGCATCGATTAATATCTTCATAAAAAGCAGAGTATGTTTTTCGCAAAGAGATAATTATTACCAAGTTCTCACAAGATGCTCCTTTCTTGATGTGCATACCGCCATAGGAGTGTATGGGGTAGTAACAGATATTACTGTATGGGGTAGTTACAGATATTAGAGTATGGGGTAGTTACAGATATTAGTGTATGGGGTAGTTACAGACATTAGTGTATGGGGTAGTTACAGACATTAGTGTATGAGGTAGTTACAGATATTAGTGTATGGGGTAGTAACAGATATTAGTGTATGGGTAGTTACAGACATTAGTGTATGGGGTAGTTACAGACATTAGTGTATGGGGTAGTTACGGACATTAGTGTATGAGGTAGTTACAGACATTAGTGTATGGGGTATTTACAGACATTAGTGTATGGGGTAGTTACAGGCATTAGTGTATGAGGTAGTTACAGATATTAGTGTATGGGGTAGTTACAGATATTAGTGTATGGGGTAGTTACAGATATTAGTGTATGGGGTAGTTACACATGTTAGTGTATGAGGTAGTTACAGATATAAGTGTATGGGGTAGTTACAGACATTAGATATTAGAGTATGGGGTAGTTAGTTACAGATGTTAGTGTATGGGGTAGTTACAGATATTAGTGTATGGGGTAGTTACAGACATTAGTGTATGGGGTAGTTACAGATGTTAGTGTATGAGGTAGTTACAGTTACAGACAGATGTTATTAGTGTATGGGTAGTACAGATATTACAGGTAGTTAGTGTATGTATGGGTAGTTACAGATATTAGTGTATGGGGTAGTTACAGATATTAGTGTATGGGGTAGTTAGTTAGTGTATGGGGTAGTTACAGATATTAGTGTATGGGGTAGTTACAGATATTAGTGTATGGGGTAGTTACAGATATTAGTGTATGGGGTAGTTACAGATATTAGTGTATGGGGTAGTTACAGATATTAGTGTATGGGGTAGTTACAGATATTAGTGTATGGGGTAGTTACAGATATTAGTGTATGGGGTAGTTACAGATATTAGTGTATGGGGTAGTTACAGATATTAGTGTATGGGTTACAGTAGTTACAGATATTAGTGTATGGGGTAGTTACAGATATTAGTGTATGGGGTAGTTACAGATATTAGTGTATGGGGTAGTTACAGATATTAGTGTATGGGGTAGTTACAGATATTAGTGTATGGGGTAGTTACAGATATTAGTGTATGGGGTAGTTACAGATATTAGTGTATTGGATAGTTACAGATATTAGTGTATGGGGTAGTTACAGATATTAGTGTATGGGGTAGTTACAGATATTAGTGTATGGGGTAGTTACAGATATTAGTGTATGGGTAGTTACAGATATTAGTGTATGAGGTAGTTATAGATATTAGTGTATGGGGTAGTTTCAGATATTAGTGGATGGGGTAGTTGCAGATATTAGTGTATGAGGTAGTTATAGATATTAGTGTATGGGGTAGTTATAGATATTAGTGTATGGGGTAGTTACAGATATTAGTGTATGGGGTAGTTACAGATGTTAGTGTATGGAGTAGTTACAGATATAAGTGTATGGGGTAGTTACAGATATTAGTGTATGGGGTAGTTACAGATATTAGTGTATGGGGGTAGTGAGATACAGCACATACCGTCATAGCAGTGTATGGGATAGTTACAGAGGACCCCGCCATCCACAAACGTATCCTCCACGCCATGTAGTTTATACCTAGGGGCTCTGAACATGCCTGAAACAGATCATTGCTCAATGAACAAATCATACATGTGCTACAGTCCGTTTGATTTCATTTGAGACCAATGAGTTGTTCACTAACACGAAATCTAATAAATGCAAGAAAACAAAATTTTGCACAGTCACATGAAATCGACATACCAACTCTGATGATTTGTTTCATAATTTGGACACCCGAACAGAAAAGTTGTTTAACAAGCGATCATTATTTTGTTGTCACTTTTCGCTATTTTCAACGAGGGGAGACCACTTAATGGTAGAACAGCCAGGTGTTCGAGTTGCACGTGTGAAATTGAAATTTCACTACACACGCTTGTTGATTGCCTGGACCTTTAACGTGGACCAATGAGAGTGAGTATATTTTGGCTGTCTTGAATCCCATGTTTCATAAATTAGCCCTACCTGGTATTGCCATTGACATGCGCACTGCTTGCCTAACAGGCATATCCGGTGTTGTTTTGGGGTGGCAGTATTCGGTGCTCATTTGGTTCAGGTTGGTCACTACAACGCACAGCTCTTTCTCATACTTCTGTAGCACCTAAAAGTAAAACGTAAACAATAAAACAACAAAATCATGAGGATCGACACTTGAAAAAACACATACATGTCCAACAAATGCAGCAGGGTGTAACACGACTAGATCGTCTTTGCCTGTTCTTCTACTGCTTTGGTGCCGGGTGTTATTTTATTATGTACTTTAGCGTGAAAGACTGAGATTTCTGAGTTTGATGAATGTGATATTTTCACTGCAGTGACAGAAATTATATCTCTTTGCCGGAATTACTTCATTGCTCAGCAACGTTTTTATCCAGCATCTTGTCACACAACCCAACAAATGGCATACATTTCACCAAATGCATTTGGTCGGCAGGCCTATAGACATCGGATGACCAACCTCCATCCCCTAAAACTGGGTCCAATCAGCTGATCGCCGGGTCATCCAGTGACTACCCCTCGCTGAGTTGTGTCGAGTCTGCGAGTTTACCTAACTTAGGAACACTTAAGTTACGTTTCGGCTAAGTTATTCCTCTTACAGTCGGTGAGGGGCTGTAAGTCTTCCTGTTACTGTTCTGATGGGGCGTCACTGCGCTTGTTATATCAGTGCAAGGGTCTATTTAAACCGGTTATAGTATTGAAGGGACGTTATTTCTAGGAAGCGTTTCAACGCTGATGGAAAGTTATTGATACCGTTTAAAAGGGATTAAGGGCCTTACTATGCCCGTTATGTTTGTGAATGGTTTATATTATTTACAGCTGTGAAATCGGAGTTATATATACCTGTGTCAGAATTCCAAGAGGACCCAATGTTTACCAAATTGAACACTGTGAGACACGTACCATCAACTGTAGAGTTCCTCTGAGGTCTGGCCGTGGCAGGCTTTTATTATAATATTATATTTACTGACATCTAGGAGAGATCGTCCCATTTAGCCAATTGTACTGTGCAGCAGATTCAAATCTACTCCTGTCACCAAAAAGAAGTGGAAGGTGCAGAGCAGTGTGCAGGAGGGAGTACCGATAGTGAGCTTTTTCACGTGTCGTGTCCCCTGATAGTGAGTGAGTGAGTGAGTTCACATTTAACGTAACATCGACATTGTTTCAGCCCTACATGTATAGCGGCAAGTTGTCCCGGAAAATACAGTTGGGGGAGTCCCAGTACATGTTATTAGTAATGCACGAGCTGAGAGGCGTATGGTTCATGCCAGTCATCTGTGTGTGAACACACGTGTCTGGTCATATTTCGCCTATTCATAAAATTTCATTTTGGCATACATTTGAAACCCTTTGAACTCTCTTCGATTGAAAACGTTTGAAAACAGTTAATTGGTGCAGTCAGCATGATTGTTGGCGGTTGAAAGGCGCTCTTGTCTTGCATTCATTGTTATAAATGGGGGCCTCCTTCTTTTCGGATCACAGCACATTCACAAGTGTATTGCTTCACGGGAGGTCTATAGTCGCTTCAGAGAGCTTTAAGGTTATATTTCAGGCGCAACAGAGTGGTAGCTACAGGGTTGATTGATCGGTGGGACATGGACTTAGCAGACGCCTCAAATGCAACAAATAGCTCAAACAATGGTGATATCAACTACTCAATATGTACTCAATAACAATTAATATGTTTTTCTAGATATGTATGGGTTGAATACCAAGTCCCCCGATTTTGTGAAATATATGTACAACCGCTTGTAATGACAGATCACAGGACACCATCAGACATTAATGCTGAGAATGAAGCTTTGGTGTGATGGAATCAGCACACTGACACACTGGTCAACCCTGTTAAATCTGAAGTTGAGGAACAGACTAAACAAGAAACTTTACGATTAAAGTGGCTGATCCAGGTGACTGGCTCATTGAAAATAGATTTGTCAAGCTGAGAGATATCCAAGAAACACTAAGAGCTAGATTCCAGAGGCCTATATCCACAGGGAATTAGTAGGGAAACTGTACTGACCGCTACCTTGGACTTCACATTTTCTGATTGTGAGAAGACATTGTTCGAGAGAAGTCATCTAGTATACACGGTGCAGCTGAGTGGATGGTGTTAATGTACAGTACAGATGAGTGGATGGAGTTTAGTGTATAAAGTGCAGCTGAGTTAATGGATTTTAGTGTATTGTGCAGTTGAATGGGTGATTATTAGTGTATAATCCAGCTGAGTGGATGGTTTTTAGCATATAATGCAGTTGAGTAGATTATTTTAGGATATGGTGCAGTTACGTGGATGTGTTCGAGAACATGGTGCAGTTGAGAGGATCTGTTTTGGGGACATGGTGCAGTTGAGAGGATCTGTTTTGGGGACATAGTGGAGTTACGTGGATGTGTTTCGAGAACATTGTGCAGTTGAGAGGATCTGTTTTGGGGACATGGTGCAGTTGAGAGGATCTGTTTTGGGGACATGGTTTAATTGAGAGGATCTGTTTTGGGGACACAGTGCAGTCCGGTGGATGTGTTTCGAGAACATTGTGCAGTTGAGAGGATCTGTTTTGAGGACATGGTGCAGTTGAGAGGATCTGTTTTGAGGACATGGTGCAGTTGAGAGGATCTGTTTTGGGAACAAGGTGCAGTAGAGACGATTTGTTTTGTGAACATGGTTTAGTTGAGAGGATCTGTTTTGGGGACATGGTGCAGTAGAGAGGGTCTCTTTTGAGGACATGGTGCAGTAGAGAGGGTCTGTTTGGAGAACATGATGCAGTTGAGGGAGAATGAGTGTCTCCTGCTGTAACATGACGGTGACAGCAGTCCCTGGAGGGTATAAGCTGCAAGGTGTAGCAGGGTACATATTATGTTCTTACCTGCTTGAAGGTAATGTCTTTGTCTTGAGTCTTTGCTTCTAACTGGTTCCCGAACCACTGAAAGATCTTCTTGCCTGGGTTCCAGCCATAGCCCCTCATCAAGTTGGGTAGGAGACTGCAGTACCCACACTGGTGGTCTGTCAACAATAGACTAAACATACATACGAAAAGAACATGTACATTCAAATTTACATAGCACACGCATTAAACTCAGTTGCAACAACGAATTTCCTACACATGCTGTTGATATTGTCATGATCATACATGATTAAGCAGGTACTAGTTTCTATACAATTACGATCGGGCATTAAAGAGCCGCTGTCGGTAAATGTAAATAGGAAAATCGGGGCAACATGAAAAACACAGTTTCAACTAGTAGGGTAGACTAACAACTAGTCTCTGAAATGAACATATTTAGGAGATAAACGTACTGTGTTTTGAAATTAGATGAATGTTAGACCGAATTGATAGTCTCTAAATTTCATTTGAAGCCGAACGCGTAGCGTGATGTTTCAAATGATTAATTTAGAGACCAACAATTCGGTCTAACATTCATCTAATTTCAAAACACAGTATGTTTATCTCCATTCTACCATAACCGATTTAACATCGAACTTCCTCGTCCTGCGGAAGACACGGCGTAATCCGGCATGGGACGAGAAGGCGAATTGAACTCGTCTGTGAAGGGAGTGGTAGGTGCCGTTCGTATGTTTGTTAACATTGCAACACAAAATATATTCTGTCCAAAGAAAACAAACTACTGTTTATTCAATACAATAATGTAACACCTAAGAGCTTGGTTTATATAATCATAACTCCACACGACCGAAACCAGCCTATTCTTTTGTGTGCCGTGTTACTGTACCACCCCCACCCCCACTGTACCCCTGCCACACTATAATGTAATCGTCTGACCTATTTATTTTCTTGGCAGTAGACAGTTACGCAACAGTTTGAAATGGCAGACGAGCCAGTGTTTACATTTTGCGAAAGGTTGAAATTCGAAGTGACAGTTGATAATACTTGACTGACTGTCGAACCTGAACACTGGAGAATCGAAGAAAACATCGTTTTCTGATCGACCTATAACCTGTAACTCATCAAAGACTGTTGATTTTTATGACCGGCGAGTGTCGATCATGATTTCACGTACCTGCCTCCACCCCGGCATGCGACAAAAGAGTGACAGTGCTGCTTTGTGTACATGCGACTAACTTGGGATTCCTTGGAACATTGTTCTCATCATTTTGGACTGGATTGTGGCCAAGCTTTTCAAAGTGTACGAACATAGCACTGACAGCCTTGCGGGGAAGGTGGCAGAGAGCGGAATTCTCGTGGTTTAATTTTTGACATTTTGAACGATGCAACGGGACATGATGGAGTATGAGTGGCCTAAATTTTGTGTTTCTCCTGACCGTTATCTTGAGAATTTCTCATTCTAAACGGAAACAAATATACCATTTACCAAGTAGGTAAATGTTTACGAACGTTTTGCCGCACAAATAGGGATAGATAGGGATATTTTTAATTTTTACAAGGTTTTCTGATTTATATGTTAGATATTGTTTGTTTATGTTTGGGGATGTGTATTGTAATTAAGTTTGAATATTTTTATAATAGAAGGTAATAATTATGATAGTGAGGTTCCCTAATAATTGTGGAGGAGAAATCGTTTAATTGTAGTTTTCGAGTTTTAATAAATGTTTCATCAGTATTTCCATCACGTGTTGATGTGTTGATATTAGTCATGTTGGTGGCCAAGCTGAAGTAGTGCGGCAGTGTTGTATACGTGCGCAAATGTAGAAGTATATTAATATTGCTGGTCAAAAGATAAATGTAAGAGCGCATAGATTATAATACATCTCGTGAAAGCATATGTTATATGCTTCTTATGTTCTCTACTTCATCCACCGTGATATCTGTCTACATTTGAATTCGCAATATCTGATATTTTTATCCAGCAGTACCTTTTTATCATTCACACAGAATTTGATCATTCACATCTCCGTCCAACGTTCAACAACTACACGAGCTCAACCCACTTCTTCATGAAAAAGGTAGTTTACCCTTTCACATACAGGTCTTATTCTTCCTTCATACACGATCACACCAATAGTGAGGAGAGTGAATTTTAATTCATGTTAAGCTATGCTAGTTTTTTTGCGGCCTTACCTAAAAACACAGTTGACAAATCCTGGCTGAGGAAGCCTTCGATGTCTTTGGAGTTGTACCCCACAGCCAACAGCGTTGCCGTCATGGCCCCTGCGCTGGCACCCGCCAGTCTCCTGATCTGTGGCCAAATCCCAAGTTCCTCCAGCACCTGGCAGTTGAGCATCGACGTCAACACAAACAAATATCGTAATGTTTAGAAATGGCTACTCGGGAAGTAAGGCACGGTGGTGAAACATATTTAATAGTTAAAAACATTTAAAATTTAGTTTTTTCTCAGATTCAGAATTTATATCTGTTGTGTATCCATTTCACCTTTTCAGTGGTTGTGAAGTATGGTGTGTGTTGTGGGGTATGGGACTGGAAGCTGTAGCTGTTGAAAGGGTACAGCGATAATATATTTAGCCAATATTAAGTGTGAAAAGTGTATAAACCATCAGCCTTTGTAGATAGTGAAATCGGTATTGTTATATATTGGTTGTACATTATGAGTATTTACACGTTTTATGACGTTGTTGAAACATGCTTGGCATAAACTAGAATGAAAGACATGGGTTAACTTGAACACATATTTATCATATTAGTATGGATACGGTTGTGTGTGGTTGGCGCAAACTATAGACAACACAGGATTTAGGCACAGTGTAGCACAGAACTCGGAACACGGAACTCATAGAACGTAATATGGTCCTGGAACACCTAAACTCTATACTCGCTGACTGTAATATAGTCCTGGGAGACCTAAGCTTTACGCTCACTGAATTTGATAGGGTCCTGGGATACCTAATCTGTATACTCGCTGGCTGTAATATAGTCCTGGGACACCTAAGCTATAGGGTCCTGGGATCTGTGAAACCTAATCTTTATACTGGCGGACTGTAATATGGTCCTGGGACACCTAAACGTTATACTCGCTGACTGTCATATAGTCTAGTGATACCAAAGCTTTACGCTCACTGAATTTGATAGGGTCAAGGGATGCCTAAGATTTCCACTCACTGACTGTGATATGGTCCAGGGATGCCTAAGCTTTCCACTCGCTGACTGTGATATGATCCAGGGATGCCTAAGCAGGGATTTCCACTCACTGACTGTGATATGGTCCAGGGATGCCTAAGCTTTCCACTCACTGACTGTGATATGATCCAGGGATGCCTAAGCTTTCCACTCACTGACTGTGATATGGTCCAGGGATGCCTAAGCTTTCCACTCACTGACTGTGATATGGTCCACAGATGCCTAGGCTTTCCACTCACTGACTGTGATATGGTCCAGGGATGCCTAAGCTTTCCACTCACTGACTGTGATATGGTCCAGGGATGCCTAAGCTTTCCACTCACTGACTGTGATATGGTCCAGGGATGCCTAAACTTTCCACTCGCTGACTGTGATATGGTCCAGGGATGCCTAGGCTTTCCACTCAATGACTGTGATATGGTCCAGGGATGCCTAAGCTTTCCACTCACTGACTGTGATATGGTCCAGGGATGCCTAAGCTTTCCACTCACTGACTGTGATATGGTCCAGGGATGCCTAAGCTTTCCACTCACTGACTGTGATATGGTCCAGGGATGCCTAAGCTTTCCACTCACTGAATTTGATGTAGTCTAAGCTTTCCACTCGCTGACTGTGATATGGTCCAGGGATGCCTAAGCTTTCCACTCACTGACTGTGATATGGTCCAGAGATGCCTAGGCTTTCCACTCGCTGACTGTGATATGGTCCAGGGATGCCTAAGCTTTCCACTCACTGACTGTGATATGGTCCATGGATACCTAAGCTTTCCACTCACTGACTGTGATATGGTCCAGGGATGCCTAAGCTTTCCACTCACTGAATTTGATGTAGTCTAAGCTTTCCACTCGCTGACTGTGATATGGTCCAGGGATGCTAAGCTTTCCAAGCTTGATATGGTCCACTAAGCTTTCCACTCACTGACTGTGATATGGTCCTGGGATGCCTAAGCTTTCCACTCACTGACTGTGATATGGTCCAGGGATGCCTAAGCTTTCCACTCACTGACTGTGATATGGTCCAGGGATGCCTAAGCTTTCCACTCACTGACTGTGATATGGTCCAGGGATGCCTAAGCTTTCCACTCACTGACTGTGATATGGTCCAGGGATGCCTAAGCTTTACACTCACTGACTGTGATATGGTCCAGGGATGCCTAAGCTTTCCACTCACTGACTGTGATATGGTCCAGGGATGCCTAAGCTTTCCACTCGCTGACTGTGATATGGTCCAGGGATGCCTAAGCTTTCCACTCACTGACTGTGATATGGTCCAGGGATGCCTAAGCTTTCCACTCACTGACTGTGATATGGTCCAGGGATGCCTAAGCTTTCCACTCACTGACTGTGATATGGTCCAGAGATGCCTAGGCTTTCCACTCGCTGACTGTGATATAGTCCAGGGATGCCTAAGCTTTCCACTCACTGACTGTGATATGGTCCAGAGATGCCTAGGCTTTCCACTCGCTGACTTTGATAAGGTCCAGGGATGCCTAAGCTTTACACTCACTGACTGTGATATGGTCCAGGGATGCCTAAGCTTTCCACTCACTGACTGTGATATGGTCCAGGGATGCCTAAGCTTTCCACTCACTGAATTTGATGTAGTCTAAGCTTTCCACTCGCTGACTTTTTTATACCAGATAACAATAGGCGGGTTGTACTTAGTCCAGCGATGTCTAATAAAAAAAGTTTTATCTCTCAGCTGTTAATGAGCCAAACCGTTTTCAGTCGGTTCAGTTAGCGCTTCAGCAATATACAGAGCTCCAGCCTTGGGGCAGCTGACCAAACAATGTTACACCTGCTCCGTGTCAGTGAACACGCTGTACAGCAGATTGAAGTACAACATGTCAATGGGGGAGATGTGACGAACAGTCCAATAAATGCTTCATTGAACATACAATGCGGTTAGCAGTACGAATACCGTGCATTGAATGTTGGTACAATGAAATACCACGTGTTCAAAATATATTGTGAAATGGCTAGCTAGTTTCCAGTTGACCCATTTATATCTCATTTGGTAAAACTCATGGTCTGTCATAAAAAGTCATATGGCATATACATTCCTGTTCTCATTGTCTCTGGTACAGTCATTGATTACAACAGTGCCCGTAAATAAATGAGAAACAACTAGGAACGATGAAATCGACCTCTGACAATAATTTAAAATCCATACGCTGAAATACACAGACGGATATACCGGATATACCGCACACGGAATATAATTGTCCGGAATTTCCAAGGGTCTTACAGTCCGGTACACCATTTCAAAACACCGTGTGGCGAATTTATTACCCTTAAGATCTTTTTATTTAGCTTATCTTTAAACAACAACATTCATTCATCGGCAGAATGAGACGCAAAACGTTTCGCCATGATTTTCCCGAACGGTCATAAAGGGAGATAACTTAGGATGGTTTAGTTTATGACAAAATTATCGAATTTGAGTTTTTGTTAAACGACAAGTGAAATGCAGTAGCATTTTATTTTTTGGATATATTTATTGACACAAACAAATAAGAAATTATGGTAACAATTTTATTACTCTGTTTCTGCTTATAATTGAATACGCCAACTCTAAAATTTCGAAGTGATCAGCCGTTTGGCAGCCACACTCCATCTAAGGTCAAGGTCATTCGTACAACCCGCGTCGTGTGTCACATGACAGAATTGACGGGGTGTACGGTTCGTACGACCTGGCACATCCGCCTACATGGTTTCGTATGCTTTGACTACTGACCAATCAGAATTTAACAAATTCATCTTAAGTGTAACAAAGACAACCTACGGTCAACCTATATAGCTAGCGTGTACTGAAGGCAGTCATATACTCAAGCACAACCAGTAACACAGACGGATATACCGGATATACCGCACACACGGCCAACCTATATAGCTAGCGTACAGAAGGCAGTCATATACTGAAGTACAACCAGTAACACAGACGGATATACCGCACACACGGCCAACCTATATAGCTAGCGTGTACTGAAGGCAGTCATATACTCAAGCACAACCAGTAACACAGACGGATATACCGGATATACCGCACACACGGCCAACCTATATAGTTAGCGTGTACTGAAAGGAGTCATACACTCAAGCACAACCAGTAACACAGACGGATATACCGGATATACCGCACACACGGCCAACCTATATAGTTAGCGTGTACTAAAGGCAGTCATACACTAAAGTACAACCAGGAACACAGACGGATATACCGCACACAAGGCCAACCTATATAGATAGCGTGTACTAAAGGCAGTTATACACTGAAGTAATACCAGTAACACAGACGGATATACCGGATACACCGCACACACGGCCAACCTATATAGCTAGCGTGTACTGAAGGCAGTCATACACTGAAGTACAACCAGTAACACAGACGGTTATACCGCACACACGACCAACCTATATAGCCAGCGTGTACTGAAGGCAGTCATACACTGAAGTACAACCAGTAACACAGACGGTTATACCGCACACACGACCAACCTATATAGAAAGCGTGTACTGAAGGCAGTCATACACTGAAGTACAACCAGTAACACAGACGGATATACCGGATATACCGCATACACGGCCAACCTATATAGCCAGCTTGTACTGAAGGCAGTCATACACTGAAGTACAACCAGTAACACAGACGGATATACCGGATATACCGCACACACGGCCAACCTATATAGCTAGCGTGTACTGAAGGCAGTCATACACTGAAGTACAACCAGTAACACAGACGGATATACCGGATATACCGCACACACGGCCAACCTATATAGCTAGCGTGTACTGAAGGCAGTCATACACTGAAGTACAACCAGTAACACAGACGGTTATACCGCACACACGGCCAACCTATATAGCTAGCGTGTACTGAAGGCAGTCATACACTGAAGTACAACCAGTAACACAGACGGATATACCGGATATACCGCACACACGGCCAACCTATATAGATAGCGTGTACTGAAGGCAGTCATACACTGAAGTACAACCAGTAACACAGACGGATATACCGGATATACCGCACACACGGCCAACCTATATAGATAGCGTGAACTGAAGGCAGTCATACACTGAAGTACAACCAGTAACACAGACGGATATACCGGATATACCGCACACACGG